ATATATATATATATATATATATATATATATATATATATAACAAAATATATTTTTACTATTATTTTCTATTTTTATGACTGTTGATATTTTTTGATTGTTGTTTACTGTATGTTGGGAATTCGAGTTAAATTGTGATTTTAACTGTTATATCTGTAATTAACATCACATAATTAATTTGATCGTTTAAATGCAGGATACAATTTTAGTACTGACCAATTTAATCGATCAAGCGGTTGATCTTGCAGAATTTCAGTCATTTCTTTAAATATAAGATCACTCGGATTTTCCTCAACAATTAAGTACGATCCAGTAAACACCAACAGTAACAATACAACGATGTTATAATTTCCCACTGAACAATGTAACTGTTACATACAATGCTACATAGATAGCTCAACATGAAGAGAACACTTAAGTATTTCCTATATTTAGGGCACAATTTGAATGGTTTCGAAGGAGAAATACCGTGGGAGGGGAATTTTTTATGATCATTTTCTTCGACTGCTTTTAACGTTGCTCTTCGCATATCGAGAGCCCCAAGATATTTAGGTGTTCTCTTTATGCTGAGACACCCTGTATTGCGTTTACATCGTCGAGTGAGAAATTGTAACATCGACGTAATGTTACCATTACGCAGTAAATAACAACCAGTAAATAACCGTTACCGTCAGTTGTTATTTATTATATTACGAGTGATCGTGATGCATCGGGATTACAATATCGACCGAAGACTGCCAAACAAACGAAAGATAAACGAGAAGAGGAGAACGCTGAGACTTCTAGAATGTTTCTTCACGAGCTCGACGAGTTTCTCGCGTCTCATCTCGTCCCGTGAATCTTATTGCGTACAGCACATCCGCGCAGACACAACGGTATATATAAAAATAATCGTTGCGCAAACCCGTTGCTGTCTCTATCTCTCTCTCTCTCTCTCTTTTACGTGCGTATCGCACGAAGCTGAAACGCAGTTATTACGATTTACTATCGAGGAGCCCGAGGGAATGATGATACACGGCCGAGCAATGCGTAAACCCCGCCGACGCGTAACATACACACAAGCTCCAGCCGGCGTCCCTGAAGAAACGCGCGTCGTGCCGGCGCGCCGCCGGACTTCCGGGGCGAACCCCGGCGGCGGCGACGTGTCGACGACAGAGATTTTTCGCGGCCGGGATTAATTCGAGGCGCGATCACGCGCGATCGACACGTCGTTTGGCACGTCGTTCCGGCGCGCGTGCGGCGTCTACCCGCTCGTCCCCAGCGCGATCGACGGATTTAATCACTCACCGTCCGAGCTCCGCCTGAATGTCATAATCGTCCTTGAACTCGACACCACGACGCACCGTCACGTCCCTGTAGGGGAAGCTGGGCTCGATCTCTGAAAACGGCCGAGTGCAATCGTTATAATAAGAGCCATCGAACCGTCGCGTAGGTGTCGTCGCGGCGGGCCTACCGCCGTCGAACACCGATTTCCTCTCCGGCCTCCGCCGGCTTGTGCGAGCCTTGGGAGGCCGTAAATTATTATGTAACGAGATCTTTCATCCTCATACGCGTGTAATTTTTTCACTTTCGTACACAATTCAACTTCCATACGCGTGTACAATTTAATTTTCATCGAATTTTCCTGTCGCACATCCCGATGTACACTCGATCATCTACTCGCTATTTCCGCATCGATTTCTTTCTCCTTCTGACAAAATCCTTCGTGCGCCTTCCTACGATTCTTTTCTACATTTATGCGTCTCCCACGGGAGTCAAAAGCCAAGACACAATTTCGGGGGGTGGGGGAGTTCGAACTCCGAAGCCGTGAAATACGCGAAAATAGCTTCTTCGTTCCAGGCAACCGGAGCGCGATAAATCGTGCCTCCCCGTGGACATCGGGCGCACCGAGGGGGCACGACCGGCGAGGGTCGTCGGGCGCACCTCGGCGACGAGGTGACCGGCGAGGTGTAACAGACGGAGCATCGCAGTGGTGATCGCCCGTTTGACAAACGAGCCCCGCGCGCTTCCGCCGAGCGCGCTGACAGGTTTTTGGCGCGCACAGGGCGCGACAGGCGAACTCGCGTTTCCCGCGTTTCGCGCTCGACACCCCGCCGGTTTTCCCGACGATTGTCCGCCTCCCGGCCTCTTCATCACTCTCACTCTCTCTCTCTCTCTTTCTCTTACCTCCCACCGGGTCAGTCTCGTCCACGCGGATCATATTCCTCGAGCGACCTTACGACGAGTCGTCGTCGCCGCCGCTGTCGTCGCCGCCGGTGCCGCTGTACTCTCGTCTTTCCGCGAGCGGCCGAGTAAAAAGGCGGAAACTCCCGCGTGAGATCGCGCGCGAGTGAGAAGGCGGGAGGGGATTTCTCGATCGCGATCCGCCGCGAGCCACGAGCGATTATGGACTATCTCTGTGCCGCTTGTGTGCCTTAGTGTGTATCTCGCCCGCGGAGGCCGAGACGGTGCCTCCTCTTCTTCTTCCTCGGCTCGGACGGATTTAGATTTTCGGCGGACGCCGCGGATTCTGCTGGCTGGTCACGTGGCCCGTAGCCCCAACAGTCCCGGGGTGGGGATCGAGTTGCTGGCGTCTCTCTCTCTCTCTCTCTCTCTCTCCCTCTCCCTCTCTATCTTTCGAAAGAGCGCGCGCGCGCGCGCGATCCTCGCCCTTCTCTTCGCCCATGAGGCTCACCCTTTGTACATTCACGACGACGAATCTTCATCCGGATTATCGAGACGTGCACACCATGGACGGTCATACTGTCAATAATTTCCGACAGAGCTGAAAATATACAGATGAACCCTTTTTAAATCAAAAACGCCCGCCCGTCAGCCTGATCGCTGACGAAATTAATACGCAACGCGGCCGAGGCGTTCCATTCATCAAGTACCGCGCCATTCTACAAATTCCATTCGCCAGGTATATAGAATACCTGGTCTTTTAATAGTTCGACTTCGGCGGAGCATGCTCTATGAGTTAAAATAACAGAAACAAGTCTTGCGATACACAGGCTCTCGCGGGGGCTGCGCGCCGCATTGAGGCTTCTCGTGTAGACACGGCGTGTGGAAAAGTCGGCAACGGTATTCTCGCAGGGTAATTGATGCTTCGCTGAAATAGTGGAAGGAAAAAAATGTAAAAATAAGCAAGCTCGCGCTGAGCCGGTGCAACGAATCACGACCGACCCAGCCGGTGAATCGGGAAAGACGCCTGCGCTTTTATGAAACGTTTCATGGGGCATAGGGTGGATGCTTGGCCCAATTACAACCGTGGCCTTTGGCGACCCGAATTCCAGCGGGCGCACGTAGCATTCCGATTTGCTTTAACGCGAACCTATGCATCGTACCGATTTATCGTCGCACGTATGGAAAAGGGGGCAACTAACACCTAGTCGTTGTTTTACATCGCGGTCGCTGGATTCTGTTTGCATAGCTTGACTGTTTTCGTAGTTGAAGAGTAGAAAATGAAGTTGAAAAAGCCTGAAGCCATAGAAATAAATTCAGGTTTTTCGTAAACAATAATTTTATTCTATAAAAAATATGAGATTTGAGAAAAAATGTTATATGTTAAATATATCGATATTTCTATCACGTCGCAAATGATTTTACTTGATTTCAATATGATTTGACGTTGTTAATTTTATTTCCTGTCCCGGGAGAAAAGATCATGTATGAAACTTGCCCATATATAATCATATATGTCCACAACGGGAAAATACTGTTGTTTATACATTACATGCAAATACAATCGAAATAAATGCTTCTGGCTACTTGTGCTTCTGATAGCATATGATATCGACATTTTGATTAAATAACATAACATCATTTTTTTATAGACATATACGATAATATATGTAACCACATATATGAGCAAAATTCATACATGATTTTATATAATTATATATAATTATATATAATCATTTTTTCCCAGGGTGACACACCAAACATCGGTTAGTTAGCATTAGTTACATTTATCGCTATATAAAAGGCATGTTTTTTTAACTGAACTGGAATTTCATGCCTTCTCCTCTTAATGCTATTTTATATGGTTGTTCTAAAAGCAGAAAATGTATCACCTAATTCATCTAAAAAAACAGATCTATCATATATGAAAGTTTGAAAACTCACACTGTGCGCACACGTGCGCCGTGCAACGGTTCACATTCTTACTTCATTCCGTTCCAAAAGTTATCAAACTCACTCGCACGTGTTACGTGCAGAAAGCCGGAAACGAAAATTTGCATTTCTCTGTGCTGTAAATTTGTAACAATTTAGTTATAAAAACGCTTTTTGCAGCGCTCAATGTAAGAAACTCACGTATACTGTACATAATATTTGGACATGTGTATTGTTGGTGAGGTTATCTTTAGAGATTCTTCTGTTGATTGTTCATCGCTGTCACTCCGGCCCAAATTTTCGACCTTGTGCTGACCAAAGACAAGGTACTCATAACTAAAATATTTAAAAGTTATAAAGAATTAATACGTTATAAAATTGTTACATATATTAAATTTTGCAAATAATATCTCTAATTTTTTTTACTGTAGTTACATAACATGTTGTTAATATTTAACAACACGTTATTACAAATGCCAAATTTTAAAGTTTGTAAGAAGTTTGTAAGAAGAAGATCAAAGTAGTTGTCTTAGTGGTTATAAATACAACAAAGTATAAATAATAAATTTTCTTACATTTTCAAAAAGCTTACAACCTAAGGATCGTCATCACTCGAGTCAGTGAATTAATGTTAAAATGGGTTGTACATCTGATCAAGACAGTGATAATATTTCAACCGGTTTTCAACATGGACACGATGATGTTAAAACTTTAATTACCTCCCCCCGAAAAAAGGTACATAAGTGCACTGAATCAGGCTGCCATGCTATATTTTCAACAGCTTCGAAATTACGGAGGCATAAGAGACACCATACTGGTGAGGTACAGAATCAGTATTAGTATATAGATAGAATTAATATTAATATATTGACTATCACTGTCTTAAATGATCGTATCTAGAATCAATAAAGGATATTCCTAATAAGCTTTTAATAAATATATATTATTTTGTTGATATACTAATTAACAAATTATTATGTACATAAGTCAATATATTAAAATTATACATAATTAATTAAATGATGTATCAATGTTTGATAACTGACAAAATACTTTTTTATAACAGAGACCATATATTTGTACTCATCCAAAATGTACGAAGTCATATATGTCTTCCTCTCACTTAAAGAGGCACTTGAAAACACATGATATTACCAAAACGGTATATCAGTATGTATACATTTCAATATATATGTGTATATATATATATTGTACAGTATTTATTTTACATATTATAGTTACTATATGTTCTATGATTTTCAGATGTCAGCACTGCCCAATGAAAATTAGTAATCAAGACAATCTGAAACGTCATTACAGACGACGTCATAGCGTGGACAGCAAATCCAAAATTTCTTGCGGAGAATGTGGCATGACTTTTAATAAAAAATTTCATCTAACTCAACATCAAGCTGAACATTTTGGAACTACAAGTTACAAATGTGATAAATGTGACAAAAGTTTCTCAACTAATACTAAACTGTCACGGCACGAAAAGTCACATGACAGAAGTTATCCTTGCCCAGTTTCTGGATGTTCAGAAGTATTTCAAAAATTTTCCCATCTGCGTACACATAAGAAAATGAAACATGTAACAGGTAACAGAGAGAGATATATGTCCCACATTATAAATTCATTACTTTAATGAAGCAAATGCATTTCAGCACAGGAATCTTTAACGTTTAACTTCTGTTACAGAATATCATTGTGACAAGTGCAACAAGATTTTCTTTTTAAAAAGTAAATTAAGATCTCATTTAAAAATACACTCTGAAAACAGAATGGTTATACCATGTCCATATGAGAACTGTGATAGAGCTTATTTACAGAAATGTAACTTGGACTATCATATAAAATCTTGGCATCTCGGACAGAAATATTACTGTGATATATGTTCCGCAGGACTTAAAAGTAAGTCAAAATTAGTACTGCATATTAAGCGGCATTATGAACCTAAGGAAAGAAAGAAAAACAAAGAACGAAAGAAAAGGAAAGATAGCGGAATACCAAAGAAAAGTGTGATAAGTAAATTGATAGGATGCAACTTTCCTCATCAATTGGAAAAATTATTGCTGGCACGAGAAACAACGATACAAATCTCAGAATCAACCGATAATTTATCAAACAATGAACAAGTTGAATCTACAGAATGTGCGTCATGATTAAATTGATAATAAAATATTTGTCATACTCTAATGTACGTGCTAAGTATTCTAAGTAGTTTCATCAAGAATGTAACTACTCTATATTAAAAGAGTGTTTGTGTAAAGCATTCATGTAAATGTGTTACGTAAAGTGTTTATGCAAGCGTTCTCTTGATCGAAACATTTGACAATAAGAAAAAAAATGTAACAATATTTGTTTAGAAAATATTTGTAGACAATACTCCAATCGTCTTAACACAACAGATTAAATATATCACACGTATTTTACTACGTAACTAACAAATTTAATATAAATTACTAAATTTTCTTTATCGTTATTGTGTTATTACCGCATAATAGAAAACGAAATCCATCCAATCTTGAAATGACACGTAAAATTTAAAACTTCGACTGTTGAAGAAGGCTTACAACTTCTGAAAGCTTTAATCGTGAATAGTAAATTTTTAGTAATTTACTAGTTAGAGCGGACGCATCAACCAACGTATGCTTCGTTCAGTATAATTTTATAGTAGCGGGTTGTTTGCTGATTGGCTTCTGCCTACAGAACTCGGCAGCCAATAAACTTTTAATTCTCGTGGAAAAGCGGCACGTTGATTGTCTACCACGTCGCTTCTTGCCGCGCGGCGAAAGTTCGCACGGTAGCCAATCAACGTGCCGTTTTTCCATAAGAACTAAAAGTTTATTGGCTGCTGCGTCGCTTCTTGGTGCGCGGCGGAAGTTTACGCGGTAGCCAATAAATTTCTAGTTTTTAGTACGGAAAAACTGCACGTTGATTGGCTACCGCGTTACTTCCACCGTCCGGCCGCGTTCCACGTTCCAGAGCCATTAAACTAATCTCACTAGACTTTACCCAGCCCTTTCTGTATAACCTGTACAAGCTAAATATAGTGAAGAAATATTTGTTGTTATAATAGTATATTGGTTAATTACTTGCTTGAAAAATATTTTGTATATATATACTTGTATATATATATATATATATGTGCTGCATATAAAAAATGAGATACGCTCAATTAGTAATGGGCCCGGCCGGTAGTGGCAAGGTAATAAATTTTAATTTATCCCGTCAAATTTATATTAAATAAATAACAATATATGAAATATGTATATATATATATATATCAGTGAAATAATATTGAACATTAAATATTACTTCACTTTAAATAGTCCACATACTGTTCCATCATGCAAGAACATGCTGCCAACTCCAGAAGGCCAGTATCGGTTATAAATTTGGACCCTGCGGCAGAATATTTCGATTACGAACCTTCAGAGGATATAAGAGAACTAATTCATATAGACGATCCCATGGAAGATGATAAACTTAATTTTGGACCCAATGGCAGCCTTATATTCTGCATGGAGTATGTTACTTTACATTTGCACAAACATATTATTATCCTCGCATTGTTATGATAACAATAAAAATTTTTCCATAGATATTTGGTTGAAAGTGGATGGCTAGAACAGATATTAAATGAAGCACAGGATGAATATATAATATTTGATTGCCCGGGACAAATTGAACTGTATACTCACATGACCGTGATAAGTCAACTAATAACCATTTTGCAGAATTTTGACTTCCAAGTATGCGCAGTATTTCTAATCGATAGTCAATTTATGGTGGATGGATCGAAGTTTCTGTCAGGAACTATGGCTGCGCTTAGTGTAATGATAAACCTAGAACTTCCGCATGTCAATATTCTTAGTAAAATAGACTTGTTGTCAAAGAGTGCGCGAAAGCAACTGGACAAGTATTTAGATCCTGATCCGGAGGCTTTATTAGCGGACATGAATAAAGACCCCACAAACCAAAAATATCAGAAACTTACAGAAGCTATCGGTAGACTTATAGAAGATTACAGCTTAGTGCGATTTTTGCCGTTAAATATTAAGGATGAGGATAGCGTTACAGATATTAAAATAACTATTGATAATGTATTACAATATGGTGAGGATACAGAAGTTAGAACTAAGGACTTTGAGCCACTTGAGCAACCATGTCCAGATAATGACTAACATAAACACAATAGATTAGATGTATCTTGTAATAAAATTCTATTTTTGCTTTTACTGTATCTTCTCTCACAACTCAAAAAGATACTTAATTCTTTCATGAAAAGCAAAGTAGTAGGATGTGAACAGAAAGGTGAAGTAAGACGTCCACAGAAAAGTGAAGTCACTGATGAACTAAGTATATACTCGTAAATATACATTCTGTTTTGACCAAACCAAGGAAAGGGCACAAAAATTATACGAAGCAGTAAGCACACACAAGAATAGATTTTTTAAAAATATAATAAATAAACGTTTTCCTTGTGCTGTGAAATTATGAATAATCCCTACCCTTTCTTGCGAGGATTGAGTATCACATTTCGACCATTTCACCTTCAATAGTACTATACTTAAAAAAAGAAGATAAGGGTAACTTGATGTATCAAAAAAGTATATCTATTAATTTGTTACTGATTTATATAAAACTATTTTTACAATGTCGAATATTTACAATATGGAATTTCATCTATCTACATATGTGCCTGACGTATTAAATATAAATATGAGACAGCCGAAACTAATGGTCGAACCGTGCGCGACAATTGCGCTACCTTCCCACCCCTCCTCTGGATGCTTGTTAACTGCAATCTCGCGCCTTCTGTTACATTTGCATGAGAGTTTGTGGACTCCATGAGTCTGCTGCTGCAGAGAAACTGCTTCTTCTTTGTATAAGATAGTTTTTATCATCTCGGACGTCTCGTCCTCTTTAGTGACGTACGTCACTTTGTCATCCCTCTCGTCTTTCGAATCACTTTCTGCGACGCGTGTATAATTGGAACAATACAATACATTGTCCACTATTGTCCCGTATTCGCTGTAATTGAGTAATTCGTAACGTTTCGTCATCTGCAAAAAAAAAGGAATATCGATTAAAAGGAAAGAACGAGGAGAATCTGTTGCGCGCGGCTCAACAGACACAGCCGTCTTTCCTCAGTCCAATTTGTGAAAGCATTCTCTCATTGTCGAAGGGGAAGTTTCCACGACGTTTCGCTTACCTCGTCGAAAAATATAATCGCATGTTTAGAAGATGTGAAACCACAATTACCATAATCGGACAAAACCAAATCACAGTTCGGGCCGTTACCAATAACGAAAGTTCTGTGAGCCATGAAAGCCGGCGGGCTAGGTTTGGAGTTTAAAGAAAATAATACGGCTCTGACATTTCTATGACGATTTACTGTTTTGTAATATTCACCGTCGGGATTCATTATTTGCTCTAATCTTTGTTGCGCTAATGCCTCTAACACCGGCCTCTCTAACAGCTGTACACCTTCCTTAACATCATAATCGTAATGTCTCGAGTGAAATTCGAGATTGTACGCCCTAGAAGTATCACTTCCCACTTTATCCGCGCATTCATTCGCATCCGACTGTTTCTCCCGATGACTCTCTTTATCCGCGGTTACATCATTTTCCACTGTTTCCACTCTTGCTCGACTGATCTCTTCGGTTTTCTTATCTTCCAATTCATAATTATCCTTGCTATTATGCGTTCGCTCGGAATTTGTGTGTTGTTCATCTCTGCTCGCTGTATTCCTCGCAGGCAGTATGACAGTATTTTGATTCAAATGCATCGACTCCAATTTCGACGGGTTCTCGTAATGATACTTTATAACGCTAGGAACTTTTACCCTCGGACGACCCTCCAATCTTACTTTCGTGCGAAACAACGGATTAGCGGCGCGCGCTTTACGCAAGAAATCCAGTTTCACCGCATGCTGGTCTATCCTCTGATTGGCGTATTTGTCCCACAGTTTTATGCGTTCTGTCACTCTACACGATGTCAGTAGATTTTGATCTATGAAGTGGTTCGGATGATTGGGACACATCCATCTACCGATAGGAAAGGTGGTCAACGGTGGATCCAGGCAATCCTGATGAAAATACAGCGGACAGTAATCACACGCAATTAACGGGGCTTTCCTGCAACTGCGTCCACATTCAAAGCACAAGCGAGCCGGCAACGGAACCATCAAGTTGCTGTCCAAACAATGACTTTTCCCAACTATAAAGAAACAAGAACGTCGTATTTAATATTTGAGCAGTTTGGGTGATCACAAATATGATAATTGATGCTTCAGAGAGCACAATATGCATTCTTTACAAGAACAAAGGTAAGAAATGAAAGGAAAAGCACACACGTATCATTGTTGTGTTCTTACCATTATTGCATGACGAACTTAGCTGTTTGCCTCTTCTGCCGGACACATAATCTATCTTATTGCTACCGGGGAACATTATAGGTAACTGTAATTCTTTAGGCAATTCAAATTCCCTGGGGTTTACTAAGGAGGCCGCAAGTGCCAATATTTCCAAAGCAGACATCTTTTTTTTCTTATCGTTTCCTTTGTTATCCATGATTTCTCTCTTAGCTGCACAACTACAGGTATAACACAACCATTCTCCATTGGGAATGTCCATTGGGTCTACTGCAGGATAGCTAGAGCATAAATCACCATCAGTCTTGTTTTCTCAATGAACACAAATCAATTCGGTCTCTCTTGTAATAAGTGCCAGTAAGCAAATAATGAAGGGTGCATCAACACTGGCCACACTTACTGGCATTGTAAGTGATAAGAAGCCGGGCATCTGTCGCAGCATATGAGCTCTCCTCCATCCTTGCAAGCATCGCAGAAATCACGATTGTGACCACGACCTCGTCTCTTGAAGTACGGATGTTTCTTCTCCTCTTTTTCCTTCTTAGCTTTAGCCGCTTTAGAATCTTCAGACACCGGCGGTGCTATCAGAGCTTGTATTTGCTAACAGAAAAGAATTCAGCTTAAAAAGAAACATATTTTTCAAGGACCAAAGGGGGTGATCTTTGAAGAATCAATAATCATAGATCCTCTCTCTATTCCTGGCGGAAAATTTACACTACTGCCTGATAGTGGTATCCGCTTATTTCCGCTTACCGGCATCAAACCGCCTATCGTCGGAAAACCATACTCAACGGTACCCATTTCGAAGAATGAAGGTACTCGAGAAAAAAAAAAGTCAAAATTTGTATCTCCGCTCACTCTGGATTAACATCTACCATCTATATTCATTATCTCACACGCTCGTCGGGATTTACATGCGCGATGCCAACGACGGAGCGAGAAACCTCACTAGAGATCTCTTTAATTACCACAGCTCCGGAAAACGGCAACCCGTGGCGTGGAAGAAAAGTTATTCCGGCGGCTGCGCGGAGTTTGCAACGAGAGCCGCGCGCGGCGTGAAGACGGTACCCGTTCGTTCCGTTGCGAACGCAACCTTACATCTCTCCTCCCCACGGTATTTCAGTTCAAGCAAATGGCGTCGTACAGGTGGAGATCGTTGCGTCAAATTACACAAATCATGAATGAATTCTAAGTGTCGTGGCATATTTCTCTAGAATTGAGAGTATCGTCAGTCTCGGTAAGCCCCCTTTCGACCGCGGTGCAATTAACGTAAGCGAGACCGCTCGCGCGACGGGGAAAAACTCCTATTTTCCTAGGCGTTCGCCTAGTATGTAAACAAACATCGTGTCGCCGTCAGTGCTGTCAGGCGATTTGTGAATCGTGATGTTCTCTGAAACCTCGTAACAATTGGAAAATCGCCCGCGGCTCCTCCTACCGCAGTTCATATTTACGATCGCAAATCGGAGTCAAGTGGAAACAACTGCTGTTGTGCAACCTGCAACATACCTCTACCACACGGCATCAGTACTTGCTTTTTGTAACTTATGTTTGTTACGTTCAATGGCCGCATTCAGCAGAACGTTTGTTTCACGTTCGTCGGAAGTTTTCCAAGCTGGGATTGGATTATTCTTCTAGATCTGAGGGAATAATACGATCTCAACGTGGGAAACTTCCAATAGTTAAGTGAGATAAACGTTCCGCCAGGCTCAAACCAATGTGTCTCCATTGTGAACTCGAGTCTTCAGCACAATAATGTTTAACCGATGAAAATGTGTGCATAAACGTGCGTATAAAGATAACATAATGGATAATGTAATGGAAGATATTGTATCGACATCGTATGTACTATTACCATGTTACATGTATGTATACATATCTAATTTGGTTCAGCAGAATATTTATAATATACACATGTATACTAAATGATTGTATCGTTACGTTGATATATGCAAAATTACATATCTAGTAATTTTTCAGTCGCATAATATATACATATGTATAACTCTTGAGTCGACATCCGCCACATATGTAATACCAACGTTCGGGACATTTTCTAGTAGTACTCAGCAACAAAGTGCATATCACAAAATGAACGAAGTAAGCGGAGGAAAGCAAGACATACCTAATACCTCAAGCTGGGAAACCTTGTCTGGGCAGTCGGTATCTTCAATGCCAACGATGCATCATCATCCGACACTACAGCAAGACCCGAACCCGACAGTAGCACAAGTTATAGTTCCTACACCTGTTAAGCTTCAACCACCTATGTTAACGCCAGCACAAACTGATCATTGTCCGCAACTCGGTCATATGCAGCAACCACCCCTGATAACTCAGGTATACCCCGAATCAAATCTCACTCACACCTCGAGAGGTTTTAACAATCATCAGAACAATACGATAGAATTATATCACACACACAGGGTGCGCCACCAGGAAGCTTCCCGGAGCCTGAGTTATCGGCCGAGCTTCAGCAGCAAGGTTGGAAGAAATTCTGGAGCAAGAGGGAAAGTCGGCCGTACTTCTGGAATAAATTGACCGGAGAATCTCTCTGGGTGATACCTTCCCTGAAGCCTCAGGTGTGTAAATGAGAATAATCCGACGTGTAAACGAACACCTGTAACAAAGAGACAAGACATGTAGCATATGCGTCGTCTTACCTTAGTTCGATCCGATCACGGATCCGCTCGGCATCTGTGGTGTGCCGCCTATACCGGGGAACGGAGCTATTCCAGCTGGTACTCCGGCCGGCACGTTGAAACGCCGCGCGTCGGAAGACGGAGCGGTCCCACCGCCGAAGAAATTCGTATTGGCGTACGTAGTCTAAGTCTCTTTTCCGCGGCGTCTCGGTAGAGAGACGGGCGAGTAATTGCTCTTACTCCTCACCACCAGGGGCCCGTGGGACTTGGAGATACCCACGAACGTCATAATATACGAGAGAGCGCCGTCGAATTTGCCGCACGTCCATCCCGAGGCGGAAGCGATGCGATGCGCTTTGCTGTCGAAGCTGCGACAGTGTTACCAGGAGCTGTGTCACACCCGCGAGTCCATAGACGCGCCTAAGGATTCCTTCAACAGGTGGCTGATGGAGCGTAAGGTGATCGACTGCGGCTCGGACCCGCTGCTACCGAGCCAATGCTTCCCCGAGATCTCGATGTCCATGTATCGCGAGATCATGAACGACATCCCCATCAAGCTGGTGAGGCCGAAATTCACGGGCGACGCGAGGAAACAGCTGTCGCGCTACGCCGAGGCCGCGAAGAAGATGATCGAGTCGAGGGCGGCGTCCTCCGAGAGCCGGAAGGTGGTCAAGTGGAACGCGGAGGACACCTTCCAGTGGCTGAGACGAACGGTGGGCGCGACGTTCGACGACTTTCAGGACAGGCTCGCCCACCTCAAGCGACAGTGCCAGCCGCACCTCACGGAGACCGTGAAAGCCAGCGTCGAGGGCATATGCCTCAAGATCTATCATCTCTCCACGGAATACGCGAAGAAGGTGAAGGACAAGAACAACCAGATCCTCAAGGACAACGGCCTAGGTGACGTCATACCGCTCGGCGGGCCGGCCAGCACGCAGAGAAAAGTTTGGTGTTATCCAGTGCAATTCTCCCTACCGACGCCGAGACTATCTCAGGTGGACTACCTGCCCGAGCGTGAGCAGACGATGCTGCGCTTTCACGGCGACGCCATGTGTATCAACAACATACACCTCACTAAGCTGGAACACTTGTACAGGTACAACTGTTTCGACGACAAAAAGTTCGAGATGTTCCTGCCACGAGTGTGGTGCATGCTGAAGCGTTACCAGACGTATCTCGGGATGAACGAGGGCCAGGCCACTCAGATGGCCCTCCCGGTCACGGTGTTCGAATGCCTCCAGAGATCGTTCGGGGTAACGTTCGAGTGTTTCGCCTCGCCCCTGAACTGTTACTTCCGGCAGCACTGCTCGTCTTTCGCCGACACAGACTCGTACTTCGGCTCGAGGGGGCCGTTCTTGGACTTCAGGCCGGTCAGCGGCTCGTTTCAAGCGAATCCGCCGTACTGCGAGGAACTCATGGAAGCGATGGTCAATCACTTCGAACGTCTCCTGGCCGATTCCGCGGAACCTCTGTCGTTCGTGGTGTTCCTGCCGGAATGGCGGGACCCGGCACCCAACGCGCTCATCAAGCTCGAGGGGAGCCACTTCAAGCGCAAGCAGGTGGTCGTGCCCGCTATGGAACACGAATACAGACACGGATTCCAACATATTCTTCCGAAGTGCGCTTGCAATTCATGCGTTCGGTGTGATATCTTCAGGATTGCCACAGACCTTGGAAAACCGGGAAAAGCTCGTGGAAATTTAAAATACCCGAGAAAGCCAGGGAAAGATATAAAAAGACCTGAAATTTTTAACTCTGTTCTCAACTCCCTTAAATATATTCTTTTTTTTTTTTATAATACTTATTTATTTTCTGCCAGCCTGAATTCGCACTCAAGATTATATTATGTTACTAAACTTTTGAGTTTGTGTCGCTTCTAATGATACAAGCTACCTTTCCCGCAATCCCTGCTTTCAAACGTTGAAGTTCAATGTCACACATCGCTCGTGGAAAATCCGGAAGAGTCGGGGAATTTAGAAATTCATTTTCTGTGGCAACCCTGATCTTGTAGGAAACTTATCGAGTGATTCCCCTCGTTCTTTCCATTCCAGAGGTGAAGTCAACATCCGGGCGGCGCACGGTACGTTGGTCGTGTGGTTGCAAAACCCAGCAGGTGCTGCGCGTTGGGGACCGACGGAGGAGCGGGTTGAGGCCTTACTGGAAGCGTGGCGACCAGGTCGGGAGCGGGAACGAGACAGGCAGGAACTTCTCTCCCCGCCGAGGCAAGCTCATCAGCCGATACCGTCAACGCCAGTGCCTGTACCAACGACGCCGACTACGCCGACGATTGTGCCACCAGTGCAGACATTGCCCACTCATCCCATATAATTTTGTTGAGCGATCTTCGAGAAGAGGAGAAACACGTATAAATATAGTCCCGCAAATAAATTCAAACAGTTGAGAAAAAGAGGTACGAAATTTATACCTTGTAAAATAACGAAAACACTCTCTCGTGGAGGAGATCCGTTTTGTACTACCTTATTAGTGACTATGAAATTGGCAAAAGTATAAGGTGTAAAGATAGAAGAGAGATTAAGAGATTAGATTATCGTGTGCGAGGAAATTGCACAATCAACATAGAAACACGTATGGACATTATAATTATAGTCGCCTGCCAGCGACGGTTTGTGCTAATGAGACAAGACCCATTGTGATCGTCCTTTATATTTCTCAAACGATCTCGTAGAAATCGTTTCTATCGACAACCAATGCTTGGTCGGTCTCCTCGTTCGACATTGAAACGGAATCAGATTCCGTTGTCTCAGCGTTAACAAATAGCAAAAAATTACTATAGAAAATACATTGAGAAATATGCATCTAATTACATCTGCTATATATATATATATATATATAAAGAGTTCACTTATCAACACTCAAACAAACGCACATCGCAGAAAGTCTAAGTTTGTCAGTTTGGACAGTTAATTGTTGTCAGATACTGCATTGGACTTTGTGACGCTTGTGGCGCTTGGAACATTACAAGATAAAAACACCAATGCCTGAACGCGTACTTAACTGCGGACATTTTTGTTGTTTTGGTTTTTTAAACATAAAATATTTGCATATATTCAATATACGTATATATATATATATTCTATGTTGAAAGTTTGAGTATTCATTTTAAACACCAAACAATATAAATGCCCCAAGTTATAACCCAGAAGTGTGTGTCCAGGTATTCGTATTTTTTACCTTGTATGATACTTGCTATGCAAGATAAAATTGGCACTATTGCGAATGTTAAAAGAAACTGAATTTACGTAACAAATGTACAGGCGTATGTGTATGTGTGTATGTGTGCGAACATGGGTAGGCATATACGCGTTACTTTAGATTATCTGCTCGTCTATCGTCGAGAGGGAAACTTTTATCGGAAGAAATCTTGGAATAATAACATCGTTGCATTTTTAACCATGACAATCTTTTTCTTTTAATACAAAGGAATACGCGAAGGAGGGGGAGGAGGGAGGGGGTAACTACTCATTTTATTTTAAACAACTTTATCAGTGCAATATTTTCTATCGGTCTGTATCTGATATCTATAAACAGATAGCAGCGTATAGATCGAACTTCCCCGAAAGAAATGCATGTTTTTATTCTTTAATGAATACACGTGTTGTATAGAAACTATATACTTATTACGCAATCATATGCTTTTGTACTATTTTTTTCTGATAAGTAGACACTCGACTTTATCCGATGATTCGTTTGAGTTATGTTCGTGTACTCACTGCCAGTATTGAAGATCTAACATGAATTATATATAGATTTCCACTATTGGTAAATATACGAACACAGACTTGGTGTAATCTTCTGTACAGCCTTTTTCAGTGAATAGAGAGATTCTACGAAAGTTCTTGGTAGAAAGACAATTTTAAAATGCCATCGAGGATATATTATAAATTCCCACAATCTTTTTCACATCAAGCATATCTGTAACGAACATAGAGCGTATATCGAGAGGATAGATAAATTACTTAGAAGCAGATAGGTATGAAATAACAAAGCTACACGCACACCCGTAAATAATACGCCGGAGATATCACGCGTATACGTGTACGTTAGTACGTTGAGTTGATTTTATTAAAAATATTTGTGGTCTACGGTCTTTTTAACGAGCGAGTTTAAGTCGACATGTCGGCCACACTTCTCATTAAAAGAGAGAAACCATATTTACATCTCTTATAAATTTTGTATATTTTTATTAAGAGAGTACGTGTGCTAAATATACGCTAGAGAGGAGTAGAGTGTGTACATACACATGTGCATATAGGCGCACACATGCCCATGCGCGTGCGTGTGTATAGCCATCTTTAGCATACGTAAATTTATACATATATATATATATTTATATATATATATATATATGTTACATAATTGATATAGTAAGTAAGACAATACGTAAAATATAAGTTAAGAATTTTGTGAGATACTGTGTTGTTTTACAGGCAAAAACGATTAGGTATATTCGCGATTAGGTCGTATTACATCTTAATAGAGTCGAAGAATAAGAAATTTTTCTTGTAAATCTTTACATTTTAGTGGCTAGTATACGTTCCATCCGGGGAAATTATACTTTTCCTACGTTTAATCGTTCTATTAGGTTAAAATTCAATCTTACTTATCACATCTGCGCGAGCTTTTTGCCGTGAACATAATTACATTTATTGTAGGGCGTGAGATAATTATTGCTTTTCGCTACACGCTTTATTGTTGCGCGACACTTACGGTTTTCCCCTTCTTCATTCTTTCCTTTCTCGACCGTGACTGTTTTTTTTTTTTTCTAATTATCTCATGCATTTTACTTGAGTCTGCTATAATTCAAGACGGCATCTAACAATAGTGCTTACTGTACAAACGTAACCTTAGAATGCGACACGGCGAAATGTTATATCTTCTAAGAGGAAATTTAAATAAAGTTAAAGTGGAGAATTTATAAGAATCTAGAGATTAAGAATTCAGTACGAGAGAGAGTTGCGAAAGTGAATACCGTCGTGTAAGGAAGAACGAAAATCTGTAATTCGCGTCGATTACGAAACGACGAATGACGTTTTGCGTTCACGGGGAAATCACATTTTCAATGTTACAGGATGACTCGAGAACCGAGGTGATGTTTTTTAATAATGCGCGGGCTTCGTCGTTCTCGCACATCAAATTGTACACAGATAGATCCTGCGCGTCCGTTACAAAATCTTCCAATACGTTCTTCAATACCCCCAAGTCGAACGAACAGTGATTACGTCCAAGAAGATACTTATCGAAGCTTACAACTTGACCTTTTTTTACCATAGCTTGTAGACGACTCTTAGCAATAAACGATATAAATTCGAGAAACTGCTTATAGTCCATGCCGTACGACGTTTTTAGCATCAATTGGCAATGTTCGTTCCAATTTTTCATGTCCCTGCAATCATCGACTTCTCTCATGACAGACCTCAGTTCCTTTTTCAGCGCGGACCACACGCCGGTGATGTTACAGCCATTTATCCAATTGTGATTAATGGAAATTGTGTCCCGCTGGGTAAAAATGACGCGTAAATAATTAATCCGCCCTTTCTTCGAATTCGAATGTTCTCTCTCTCTCTCTCTCTCTATCTATCTTTCTTGCAAAATTCTACAGCTATTTACCAAGTTCCAGACTTGATGATGCCATCCAGACGGCACGAATATAATCTCCCCTGCTTCTTGAACCACATCCAGATATCTCAACTTCGCGCTATCGTACGCTTTGTACTTTGTACGGTCGTTAAGCTCCTCCGACACCGCGTCGTACGCTAATTGGCCGTAAAGATCGCGAAGACGATCTTCCTCGCGCGGAGGAAAGAGCAGCCACCTCTTTCTCCCGACTATATTAGCGGACCAGCTGTACGATGTGAAAACGTCCACGTGCAACGGAGTCCTGAGACATCACGAGAAACAGCAACGATTAAATCTTGACACGAGAAAATTAACGCAGTTCTCGATACGGTTCTACCGGAAGGACGATGAGATAATTCACACAGACTTCCGATCCTACGATCGCACCAAGTACATTCTGTAGCATTGAAAGTGTATTTACCATGACCCTTTCGGACCCATGTACACGAACATGTAATCGTCGTTTAATTCGGGATGAGCGATATAGTATTCGTTCAACCAGTCGGATACAAAGTACCGCGGCACTTCGTAGATCGGGATGTCGGGGAAGTTTTTCACGCAGTGCCAGTCCTTCAGGTACAGCAACGGCATCGTTTTCGAGTAATCGTTCTGCCTATAACTGATCCAGTAGTCCAGGTAACTCCCCATGGACATGTCATCCTTGAATTGCGAGTTGTAAAATTTCCTGTTGCAATCGGCGACTGGCACTTGGGAGTGGCCTAGGCGGTAGAAATCGCGTCGAATTAACGATCGCATAATCGGGCATGATCGGTCGGAGGTCATCACTTACTGAAAGACGCGCGGAGCGCCTCGAAATTCGGCGCATCCTCCAGCACCCATTCGCGTCTACAGGGCCAATTCGCAGTGGCCTGCGAGCCGACGACGCAGGGTCTGTTGCGTATCAGGTACTCGGAGAAGAAGTCGTTGTACGTCACCGTCGCCGGGTCGACCCGCTCGATCGTGTTCGACACGCAAACGTCCTCGTCGACGGAGCACAGACTACTGTTGATCTCGATGCACATTGACATGACCAGATTCCGGTCCTCATCGTCCGACTCGGCGTGAGGGATTATTCGCAAGGCGACGAAGACGACGTTCCCCGTGCCCGGCAACGAGGTACGAACCTAAGGATCCCCTCTAATAAAAGTCTATTCTTTTTAGCTGAACCAGCTGCGGTGGCTCACAGATATACGCACAAATTGAAGCGTATGAAGGATAATTATGATCTTAGACAACGCAACGTTTAAAATCGGGACGACGTAAGACGTCTCTAGGGAGTTTTAAAGACGTTCGTAAATAAGACGTCTGATGAACGTCTCACGCTTTCGTCGTCCCGCTTTCAGGCGTTCCCGTTATCCGGGGGCGATTCTCATGCTTGTGCGCGCAAATCTCTCGAAATTTGGCGCAGCCAACTCGGCTGAAAGAACGGGCCGGTCATCTCAGACTCGCCGGCGAAGCTGAATGTTAAATTCACCGGAGGACGAGACACGTGACGCTCCTCCAACGCGAAGCGTCATCGGCGAACCTCCACGCCGCACGTCTCGCGAGCGACTGCGCCGGTTTTGCGTCACGGACCAACGAACACACCTAGAACCGCAAGCGCGTCGTTACGACCCCGAGCTAAAGGCCGATCGACAGAGGGAGAAGAATCGAAGCGTCCCCGGCGGCGCGCGAGAGGGCGCGCTCGTAGCGGACAAAGCCAGCGGAGGGCTACTTCCTCCACCCATACCCTCGGTATATACACCTTCGGCCTAAGGGTGGGTCTGTCCTTCGTGCGGGAGGGGTCGCGTGAACGCGGCCGCGAGAACGTGTGTCCGAGTAAACGGCGTTCGCTCGCTTCGGATCGCGCGGCCGGCGTGAAGGAAGGGCGGTGCGCGAAGAAACGCCGTCGGCCGTCCGCTCGCTTGTTCGTTCGTTCGTTCGCCCGTTCGCTCTCGGCTACCGCTCGCGAGTTCACGGTGGCGTGCCGCCGACGACGAGGACGATCGGATCGAAAGCGGATGGTACGCGGCGCTCTCCGCGCGCTCCTTCCCTGATTCCTCGTTCCCGTCCGCCCCCCTTCCTGTAACAAAGCGAGGGAGAAAGAGAGAGAGAGAGGAGAAGGAGAAGAAGACACAGGGTGATAAACGGAGAGAAAGAGAGAGAGAGAGAGAGAGACAGAAGGAGAGGGAAAGAGAGAAAGAGACACGAGCCCCCGGTACGTAGGTACGCTCCAGTCGTTCATGGCTGCGGTGGGGCCACCAAGTGGGGGAAAACAAGCCGTGTAACGACGTAAGAGCTCCCGAAAGCTTTATGCAGGAATATGTCAAGTTTAAAAATCGGTAAGTCCGACGACCGACGCGTTTACGTCCGTCCGTCCGGCCGTTCGTTCGCTCGCTCGCTCGCTCGCCGTCGCTTACGCTCCACGCACGATGATTCGCAGCGCGTTTGTGTCATCACGTCGCCCGCCTATCCTCCTCTCCGCGTTGCGAGGGGGAGAGGGAGAGAGAGAGATAGCAGACGAGAGCCGCTTCGCAGCTAGTCGTGCCTCGGCTAATTCAGCTCGGTGATCGCCCCGTCTCTTTCTTTCAATCGCTCCTTAGATCGCCGCATTGCACGGACGGTAATCTTCGCAATAAGCGCGGCTTACGCATACCGACGCAACCGACGAGAGCCTTCCGGAGAAGGGCCCGCGCTGCTGTCTCTCTCGCTGCTTTCGCGAAAGCTCCGACTCGTCGGGAAGCGTAGCTTGCCTTCGAGAGCAGCGTGATGCATCGTGTCGATGCGGCGTTAAATTTATCACGCGGAACTGACATTTAATCGATCCGTGTATCCCTCGTAACCCTCCTCGAGGATGCGATAAGTGAATTCTCGTGACGCGGCTGAGAGGGAGGGCGGATTAATTGGGATATGTTAAAGCGTTATCGTGCACATTATCGTGCTTCATTTATCGGAATGCACTCCTTATGATTCTCGTTGGATATCGATTGCGTCGGAATTAACGTCTCCGGGGATTTTTATAAATACATCAATAACCTCGTAATAATTGGTACCTTGGATTTTTTTTTATCTCAGTAGCTGTCAATCATATTTATTAGTTGAGTAGCCTGTGTGAGTGTGTGTGTGTGCGTGTAAGAGTGTGTACGGCGTGTGACTGTGTGTGTGTGTATTAGTACTGTACATTTGTCTCTCTCTGTCGCATGTACGTATTTAGAGTACACATTAGGATATGATTATGTATTCAGTAGGTATGTTATTATTATGTTACACGCGCGCACATACCTCTTACTTCTGCCGTGTTGATTTATGTAACTTTGTATGAGTGCCTCCAATTAATTCGTAAAACTCATCAGGCCGACTTTTGTGTGAAAGTGTCACTGACTCTACGTGTAGACAGACTCTACGTTTGTTTTTTTTTTTACAGTGATGCGCCACATTACCGTTATTCTTAGTCACAGAATATAAATTGCATGTTTAGGAAGATTAAGCACCACAGTACTAGTGATAAAAATTTTACACGAGTAAGAGGGCACATACGTGTGCAGATGTGAGTCACTCAGCTTGACGATCCGCAATGAATTCTCATCATTTCTATCATAATTGGAGATTTTCAAGCATTTATTAAATGATGTTAGAGGAAACGTATGTTATTACAGTAACATGAGTGTATTATCAAGTCATGAAGTTGCCATTATTGGACTTTATTCATGATACAAATCAAGTATGATATCTCAGGACATAAAGCTGGATGACTCACCCTGTCTGTTACTTCTTTAAGGACTATGATAAAGTTTTAAACCTGTCTATTTCATGATCTCATGTTTAATGACCGTTATTTTATTTTCTTTCCCAAAGTGTTGGTAATGCACTTGCTTGCGCTACCCTTGAGAACGATGGATTCTGACCAAAGAAATCAGCAGGTGCATCAGCACTGAACAAAATACAAAAAAAAAAAGACAAAATAATGAATGCCTGCTGCACTCACGCCGCCGACTCTGTACAAGCAGACTTAAGATTTGTTGAAGTAGTACGTGAGTAGCAGCTACTCACGTCACACTCAGCTGTACATACCAACCTAAATACATATATATACATATATTGTCACGCATATATATGTATATATATTTATTTTATCGCACATGGCAGCCATGAAGCATGGTACGTTTTATTTTCGTATGCTTTGCTTTGTATGTAAATTCCTTTCGACTTGAATTATATATACAAAAGCTCATCAGGTCCATAGACACTTGGTTACTCTGATCGTACGTACATTTGAGCCCTGCCCACATCTCTTGCAAATTTGTGCCATGTACTTCTCTGAGAACATTCAAATCTCCTCCTTAATTCCGTGATCGCTTATACTTTCGCGTTTGGTCCGCGAAATTGGATGCTGCGTGGACCAAGTGTTGTACTGAGTAAGACGTTGCTCCGTAAATTTACAGTATATCATTGTGTATATATTAGAGAACGTGTGACAAATAATAAGCTTAATTTGATTTCCTATGCCTGAGATTGTGAAGAAACAGTACAAGTACCTGATGATCTTATTATACCGTAACTTCAGTAGACGGAAAGAAATAGTCTTAAATCGATGACAGATATTCTCATATATAAGCAAGAATGTTACAATCTTCTTTAGATTTTTAGTCTTGATTTGATTGGATTTGGTATTGATGCAAGTATTGCTTGCACTCAATTCAAGACTAAAGATCCAAGAATATTCTAATATTCTTGCTTATACATAGGAATATCTGTCGTTGATCTAAGACTATTTCTTTTCTGTGTAAAGTTACACAGTACATGTAAATTACTTACTTCCAATGTTCATAATCCGCAAAAACAGTTGGTTAAAAGCCGGTAATTCGTATTCTACGGTGAAATATCGGTGATAGATGCCTTATATATACATATATATATATATACGTATATGTACGTTAAAGTTTCGATAAATAGGAACGTTAACAAGACACCTAGTTTAGCGGTGTGTAATCACACGCGAGTACTCGAGTACTTCCGCATTGGTAAGGCGCGCAACGATGACTGACTGAGAAATGCATTTCAGGCAAGACGAGTCAAGACGACGTATGTTACGTTGTCGCCAAGTATGACTACGGGGCACAGGGTGCCCAAGAGTTAGATTTACGTAAGAATGACCGCTACCTGCTGCTGGATGACTCGAAGCACTGGTGGAGGGTGCAGAGCGCGAGGGGACAGGCGGGTTACGTGCCGAGCAACTATGTCAAGAAGGAGAAGCCCTCGCTGTTCGACAGTATTAAGAAGAAAGTCAAGAAGGGCTCCGGCTCCAAGACCCTGCCATCCAGTAACTCGCCGTCCCGCGCGGTCGAGTCACCCGTTATGGCGCGACGGCTGCCGGCCGACCCGAGCGAGGCGATCGGCACCGCGGTCGTCAAGTACAATTACCAGGCGCAGCAGGCGGACGAGCTGTCCCTCGTGAAGGGCACCAGGATCCTGATACTGGAGAAGAGCAACGATGGCTGGTGGAGAGGTCAGAGCGGCACTCAGGCCGGCTGGTTCCCGTCGAACTACACCCAAGAGGAGGGCGACGCCGACGACACGCTGCACACGTACGCGATGGCCGAGAACGTGCTCGACATCGTGGTGGCCCTTTATTCGTTCTCGTCCAACAATGACCAGGAGCTGTCGTTCGAGAAGGGCGACCGCCTCGAGATCCTCGACCGTCCACCGGCGGACCCGGAATGGTACAAGGCGAGAAACAGCCAGGGCCAGGTCGGCCTGGTGCCGCGCAATTATCTCCAGGAGCTCAGCGAGTACTTGACGCAGCCATACCGCGGTATGACGACTAGTGAAGTTAGCACAGGCGATTCCTTGGAACGGAGGCCAGACCCCGGCGATCGGCCGCATCTCGTCGGCAAACCTTGGTACTACGGTAGTATTACGCGCTCACAATGCGACACGCTGCTCAATCAACACGGCCACGATGGAGATTTCCTGATCAGGGATAGCGAGACGAATGTGAGTACGGCTGCTGTTGTCCCGGATTGGGAAGTCGCTTTTCGAGCTTATTCCAGCGGCCTACTGTTGTTGTTTCTCGGGCGAAGCTGCGCGTTTGATTCGATTTCTCTCCATTTCATCGTTTTCGTTCCTCCGTAAAGTATACGGACGATTAATTGACAGGGTTGCCGCGGATATTGAAATTCCCCGACTCTTCCATATTTTCCAGACGACAATGGAGAGTTTTTTCCATGAGCAATGTGTAATCTTAAACTGTAACGTTTAGATGCAGCAATTGCAGGAAAGGTAGCTTATATTATTAGAAGCGATGCAAAAAGAAATTTAGTAACATAATATAATCCTGAATGCAAATTCCAGGCCGACAAAAAATTAATGAGTTTGCAAAAAAGAATTCAGTTGCAAGCATTTAAGGGAATTGTGAGCAAAGTTTGAAGTTACAGATTTTCTTCTAGATTTTCCCGGACATTTTTAAATTTCCACGACTTCCCGGTTTTCTCAATTTTCCAGGTCTGCGGTAACCCTGATTGTAAGCATCGGAATTGCGAATTTGTTTAATTTCTCGCGTCGATGAGAGGGAGTATCAATGACGCCAGCCAGGCCAGCAACGTTGGCTCATCGCTCTAATTATTGTCAATTTGCAGATGGGCGACTATTCGGTATCCTTGAAAGCACCGGGACGCAACAAGCATTTTAGGGTACACGTGGAAGGAGCGCTCTATTGCATCGGCCAGAGGAAATTTCACACCTTAGATCAGCTTGTAGATCACTATCAGAGAGCCCCAATCTACACCAATAAGCAGGGCGAGAAGCTGTACTTGGTGCGCCCATTACCAAAAGGCAATTCTAGTAGCAACGGTTGCTAGGTGAATTCGTGCCATGATGAAGGAGACACAGTCCATGATGCGCTTTCAGATGTATCGCTAAGATACTCGACGCCTGCCTAGTAATATCAATATCACACATCTCTCGTACGTTTATACATAACAATTAATATAATTGGTCTACTCGTATATTAGTGTTTCTCAATTGTTTTTCCATTTACACAGCGACGTATAATTTATTACTCTAAGTGATCGGTAACTGTCAGACATACATAGATACACACCAGTACACACCACACCTCGGAGCTTCCAAACTACTATTACTCAGCAAACGAACAAAGAAACATTTTTAATACGGCAGCTACGTGACATTCGTACTAGTTGACAACACAAGGCTTATCTTTATATTCATATGTAATTGTAAAACGCGAAGACCGACCATGTTATTACGATTAATAATATATTACAACTACATATAATATAGACTGCAAGTGTAATGATCAAGTAATAATTAATTATTATGCAATTATGGAACGATTAAGTGGATCTCTACTCTGGAGCTATTGGTATTGAATTATAACAAAGACTAAGTGTTCATTTGTGATTTTGTATTTATTAGAAGTTTTTAAGTAAATAAACTGTATTTAAGTGTGCATAAGACAAATCTACCCTTTTTCAATCTCCTCCCGTCGTGCCTTACATCGATAATACCAATATGCACTTGTGTGATATATATATATATATATATATATATCATCATATTATTATCTTACATTTGGAACCATCTTTTCTAATTGTACATATACTTAGACCGTCAACAGCAGTAAAACGCACTAAAATTTCCAATTTATTTAAACATCTGTGTCATCGCGAGGTAAACAGGAACACCGTCGTAAGTAACACTCACGCGATTAGTAACAAATATTAATCTTTATTAACGTGTATATTATATATTCATAAATAAAAGTATTATTTTATTTATATAGATATGAGATTGGTGCGCTCCTGGGGATAAAAGTTAATGGCACTAATTGCCAGTAAGGTCACGTATATAACAATTCGCCTAGTCTAAATGTATTTTAGTTTCGCATTGTTTGTTCGTAACTCCGTTAAAAGCTTATGCGTACTTAATCATAAGAAAGGATTGTTCGAATTTCTTGTCATGCTGCTTACGCCCGTGCCCACCTAAAAAAGAGAGAGAGAAAAAAAAAAGGAAGAACGATGAAATCTCAGTGAACGAGAGCGCGTCGAGCGAGATTTCTCTCGCATAGATGTGCAAAGAGATCACACACGAAATTGCGGAATTTTACCATGAATGGATTCGCGTGATACGCCGGAACCGTCGGCTGCCACACTTTGTTCGCTAACGGCGTCATGAGTTGACTGAATTGGAGGACGTCTCCGTTACTGGCTGACCCGATGCCTAGCCACTGCGGGTCTGAAAATTTATCTCGACGTCAGACAACCCGGCGTCACTGCTATCGCATGCTGCACTCACTTTGTAACACGGCATTTCCCTTCCTTTTTTTAATCACCCCACCGACATGATGCGATCTACCGGCATCTTATCGATATTCGAAAGAATAACGAGAGAGTGTAGATATACAAAATCTATATATAAAACAAAGACTAAATGTTCATTTGGTATTCATTAGAAATGTTTAAGTGAATAAATTATATTTAAGTGTTGATTACATTTAAATGTGCACAAGACGAATCTCCACCATTTCGAGCTATTGAAAAAAAAAGGAATATCGTGTCACACAAGCCGGATCTCTAACAGGTGTGGTGAGTCTTTAGCCTGTTACTCCAAGCAATAAAATATAATTATGATTATATTGAAATGTAACTAAATATAACTATGATTATATTAAATATATTTTTTTGACAAAAGCCGTTTCCAGCGCTGCCAAAAGTTAGTAAGTAACAACGCTTAAGGCTATTTCTCGGCAGCTATATTGGTTTATGATTCCATAGGCGAGAAATGACATGCAGTAAATATGTTGCGATATACAACTTTATCTTTTAGTTTTCCCTGAAAAACATAGTAGTTTCGTAATCCTGAAACTTGTGAAATATGCGACAAACTGAGATGTTTGTTCGATTTGCAAAGCAGAATTGCAAAATAATTCCTGAAATAACGGCCATCTCAGTTGTCAGTTCGCTTCGCGCTGCAAAAATTTTTGAGCGCTTAAAGAAAGAATATGATTGGTCCATACGGCGTTTCGAAGTATTTGCAATGTGAAATGGACCCTGGCCCGAGTATGGTTGAAAAATGACTCGTTATTTCAGCAATTACTTTGCGATTCTACGATTTCACGTGACATATCGGACAGACAACTCAGTTTGCCGCGTATTTTACAGGTTTCAAGATCACAAAACTATTATTTTTCTCAGGGGAAACTAAAAGATAAAGCCACATGCCAGGAAAAACTTACTGCGTGTCATTTCTTACCTATGACGTCACAAAACCAGTCTGGCTGCTCGAGATAGCCGAGTCTTAAATCTCAGGAATTCCGATGTAGCGCGATAGTAGCGCTGGAAACGTCTTCTGTTAGAAATTACACTGCAATTTAATAGTATTTAGAGTAAAAAGCTAAAGACTTCTTCTACACTTATTGTAGATCCGGAACATATCTCTACTGTGCTACAGACTACTGCCGGCGGTACGACACAACATAAATTCTCACGAGAGAACCCCGCCACTGTGACTTACCGTTATTTACAGGAAATGTAGTCGGTTTGAACGGATTCGCAGGATTGCACAGAGAGCTATCGACGGATTGAGTATTATTGTTGACTACGTTCGCCGGCGGCCGCCATAAATCCCCACCCGTGAACGGATTCGAAATGACGTGCGGTTGGTTGCTCACGATGCTCCATGTGGCGTTTGGTGCTGCAAAGCGGAAATCTTCACATACTTCGCGCAGCGACGGACACACGAGACGTGTGACAATTGATCGGTGTTTGGATTCGAGACGGAGTCGGCGTATAATTCGCCGAATACGCACCATTCGAGTTGTTCGCGTTCCACGTGGACGCGGATAAGGTGCCCGTGGTCTCTTCTTTCAGTTGCGTCTGCTTCATCAGCGAATCTAAGTCTTTGAGTGCCGCGTAACGATCCTCCGAGGGTGGCGCGTGTGCCCCGTTCATGTTCATCGTGGGATTGCCACCGATCTGGTGAAACATCGTCGACGTTTCTGAACCTCGGAAATAACAAAACGATCTCGTTACAAACGTCGTCCCGATGATCACGATTGTTCTTTAGATTGCCCTTGAGGAGATAGTAAGGGGCCACTTATAATTTTGCATATAAAAAAGTATATTACTTTTTTATATGCAAAATTATGTTTTTACACGTTTATTTCATATTTAAATTATAAATGTTGATTTAAAACAAGATTAAGGTAAATATAGTTTAAAAACCGGTTCTTAAACATTTTTTTCGTAGATTTTTTCAAGTTTTTTTTCTCAAGAATAGAAAAGCCCGTTTAGAAAAATTCATGTGTGTTTGTTTAAAACCTGCCACATTTACTTCTTTCCGTAAAATAGATAATTGCACTTAACTGAAATTAAACGAAGATGATGTTATATGTTCAGCAATAACATATTACCTTCAAGGAATTACAACCGAATACATTGTGAACAAATATATAAGATATAATATTATATAATACAATATTAACTTTATTTAACTTTAGTTAAATACCTATATTAACTTTATTTAACTTTAGTTAAGTACTTTCTTTATGGAAAGAAATAAATATGGCAGAGATTTTAACCGAATACATGTGAATGTTTCTAAACGAATTTTTATACAAGTCTTTTAAAGAATATATATATACATGCACAATATTACAAATACGAAAATATTATTTGTTTTCTTATTAATGTTATATTTATATATCGGTTGTTCTAATAGAGATGGACAGATAATTGAAAAGGATATGTAAATGTTTAAATATATGCATATATACATACATATTTCAAATATTACTATTAAATTGTAAACTTTACACCGTTGTATTCTCAAAACAAAATAGTTAACCCGGGAACAGTTACCTTAATTCTTTTTCTATCACAAACACTTGATGTGCTTAATCTGTTTCTTAGATATTTTTTAGTTTCTCATTTTTTTTCAAAAAGTAGCAAGTAAGTCTATATTTATAATGATCCTAACTATTAATAATAGAACAATCATCATAGAACAATCGATATGCTATATTTTGTCAATAATAACAAAGTATATTACTAAAATTAGTATTATAACTTTTAATTGAAGTCTAAATGATTATTAATAATTCTGAAATTTGTATTTAATGATTATATATTAGTCTTTAATATCATAATAGTTCTCCATTAAAATGTTATTTTTAATTTAGAAAATACTAAAAGTAGCATGCCAATTTCAAGGAACTCGTATAAAACGTGTCATTTTTAGCTACAATATCTCACAGTTTTCGAATAGTCAACCTTTCTTTAATTGCACGAGAAGTTAGATAACATTTCAGTGTACATGTCGTGCAAATTTTATCGAATTCTCATCATATTCATTTCACCTTCTTAACACTCAAATAACAAGGTTCATGTGGGTCGAATCCGACCCATAGAAGCATTCTGTAGATTTTCAACTAATTTTTTCGACCAAATATTTTTTATTCTCACAATAAGTTAGAGAACATTTAAAAATAAATAAAATATATCGCAAAATATGTAAAATACCTAAATATAGCATTTTACAAGCGTGTTCGCGGAAACATTGGAAGAATATCCGGTCGAATCTGATCAATCTTATTATCTGAAAATTAGTTAGTCCGAAGAGTGTCGGATTGGCAATATTAAGAGATCCCTTCTGATAAGTTTATTATTTATGAGAAAAAACTCTTCTATAACTTGATCTAAACAATAAATATTATTTCTTTATATACATACAATATTACAAACACGAAAATATTCTTTATTTCTAATATTTTTTATTAATGCTTTATTTATAACCTCTCCATATAACCGAATGTTGAAGAGACATCCTAGAAACGTCCCAGAATGTTCGAATATCATTAGGACGTGCTGTAGGGATCAAGGAACGCGTATAAAAAATGTCATCTTCAGTTGCAAATATCTCAGCTTCCGAATGGTCAATTATTTCCTAACTTCGCGGACGCAATGATATTTCCATCAATAAGCAGCCAAAACTTAAAAGGATTTCTAGGGAAAATGGTTTGACGGACCAGCTACCTCGATCTTGACACGACGAGAGAAAAAGGAGGAAGATGTACATGCGACCCCTGGACTGCTACTCACTGTTTGAATTATTGAAGACTGGATTGTTGTCGAAGTTAGCGAAGAACGGTTGGGGCGCGATCGGCTGTCCGGGGAACTGGCTGGTCGCTGGCGTCGTCGAGCAGAAAGGGTCGGGAACTTTGCTGAAGTCGGCGACGAAGTCCGCGGAGAAATTATTCGCGCTGATCGGCGCCGTGTTGTTCGTCGCTGCTTTCTGGCCGACCGGTGCGGCCAGGGTCGTGGACGTACTCGAGCTCGGAACTCGCGGAATGTTGCTCGTGGATTGCGACTTAGGCTGTGTCACCACTACCGTGTTTTGATTAGCGATCGACGGGTCCAGGTAGTACCGTTTCAACTCGTACTTGGCGCTCATCAGGTCCTTCATCTTCTGCTCGTCCTTGGTGTCGAGGTTCTGGGGTGAGTTAGAGTTCATCAGGCCGAGCCATATTCGCCTGCAATGCTCGTTCCCGTGCTCCTTTATGAAGTCTATCTCCTCCTGACTGAATGTCGCCATGGAAATGGACTTTACTCGGTGCGGCGGAGTCAGCCCTCGCCTGCAAGCACGAACGAGGAAGTCTGCGGATGTGTGAAAGAAGTATCGCCACCACCACCGTGATATACTAACGGACGACGCAAAGTCACACAGATGGGTGCCTGTCAGTGTAACTTTGTCAATCGATAATTCGTGTGATGAAACATACGCGTGTGTGTGTGTGTATCTCGCGTTACACGTCTCGTTAGATTTCTCACTGCTCCCCATAAAGTTCGGAATTTCGACGGCGATCTAGACTCGATGAAAATTTCACTCACACTTGCTCGTAACGAGATTCGAACGTCTAATCTATAGATACAAATAATACCGGACGCAGAGCATGAGGCAAGATTTCTCTGATCTTTCGTGTTGATGGGTCTAGAAAGAGAGAAGCGAACGTTTGGGCACGGATCTCCCTCTTTCTACTATCGTTTTATTGGCTGAATTTTGTCCAACGAGAAAGGGGAACAGCACTGCCTGCGTTCTTAGAAGTTGGAAATATACTTTTAATGAGTTATAATTTCAAAGTGTGTAACGTTGTATATGCACGAAGAAAAAGATCCTTTCGGATTTTATCAAGTTTCTCCTAATTGAAACAAACTTGCCGTTTGAAATAGATCAAACAAACGTATATGTTTGATTCAACAAGCAGGATTGTGTGGTTTTATCAAACACTAAATATCTTTACATAAAATATTTCTTTTGTATTTTCATTCAAATATTGCAATGGTTGTAACAAGTAATAAATTATTTCAAAAAAAGTAACGCTATTTTAGGAAAATATGAAACAATTTCTTTGTTTCAGTGGAACAATATTTAATACATATTTGAAATAAATTCTTTTTTTATTGAAAACGAAATATTACTTCTTCTAAATAATACCGTTTTTTTTATCAAACAGTATGATTTATTTGAGTCAAAAACAATATTTCCATTCAAATAAAATAATATTTGATACTAAATTATGTTTATAGTTAAAAAATTCGTTTTTCGCATTTTCCGCAAAAATGGGGAAAAAAATGTTTTTCATATTTTCGTGGAAACAGAGAATTATGGAAAAGTAAAAAAAAAACAGATTTTTCCAAGCCTTTAGAACTATAATTATATTGTTTATATTAAACAAATACAAATCAAAAACACGTACACTAAATCCAAAGTATTGGAAGGCTTGGGAAAAACCGGTTTTTTCCCATTTTTCCTCGGATTTATTCGGTTTCTTATCTTCTTTATGGCAAAAGTAGATATGACAGGTTTTAATCGAACACGTGTAAAATTTTTCTAAGCGAATTTTTCTATCCTTGGCACAGAAACCAAGGAAATCGCGGAAAAATTCGTAAAAACCGGTTTCTTCCTGTTCAAATTATAATTCGAAGAAAACTTTTTCCTCTGTTTAAACGTTGCGTAAACTGAGATTATTATGTATGTAATAAATAATTGCAAAATTTAATTTTTCACTTGACCCATAAAATGTATATTATGCAAAAGAAGTGTATAAAATTAAATGCCTCATGGTCACCGGTCTATATTAGTCGCTACTACCTACACATCTTGTCTCTTTCCAGGTAGGGCGGAAAATAACAATGACGTCAAAATGACATCGAAATGACGCTAAGATGACGCGGAAGTGACTATAAAATTCATTTATCAATCTCTTCATCATCTTAACGTTACTTTCGCGTCATCTTCTACGTTATCTTCGTCATTTTCTGTTCTACCTAAGTTTTTACGTCCGTCAACACGCTTTCGATTCCATGCTCCCTCCAGTACTATATCTCGATGGTCTAACCTGAAGTGTCTTCGCAAAGCAGCGTGGAAGTTGCAAAGTGGGCCACTCCATACGCGACAATAATCGGGAAATTGCTTTAAATTTCGAGCCTCTCGAACACCTCTCTCTCTTTCTCTCTCTCGGAAAATGTGGAATAGGAACAATGGAAATCGATGGGGGGACACGCTCGCGCATGATGTGATTATAATTGCATCATCGTGCGCCTCGTGTAATTAAACTCGAACACGCCGGTCCACCCCGGAATTCCACCTTTCACCCTACGACTTCCTCGACTTTTCGACGTTAATCGGCTGAAGTGCGCGCGACGCGAATGACGCTCGCGTGCATCTAATACGACGTAAGACACGTACACATACACACACACACATATATATATATATGTATGTATGTATATATATATATATATATATATATGCTGTTAATGCGGAAACGAGATTTAAAAATCGGCACGTGTGTGCGCGCGCGAGCGAGAGAGAGAGCGTGCGTGCGACCACCTCGCGCGATGAGGCCCGCGATTAAAGAAACGAGTCGATAGTCGTCGTTCGTCGTATCGCGCGTGAGCGATTGCAATTTGAATAAGCGAGAAGAAAGAAAAAGAGGTGACGATGAGCAAAGAAAGAAAAGAAAGAAAAGGAAACGCGGAGGAAGAGAGAAAGAGAAAACGACGGAAAATGCGAATGAAATCCGTCATATATATATATATATATATCTCTCTCAATCGCTCGTTCTCTTGACTCTCGCGCGACCCACGACGGCGTGTTACATTTTGACCACCACTGATAACGCAGAACTGCGCACAAAGAAAACGTCGACGACGGCTGATAGCGCTAACTTCCTGACTGTTGGACGCGCGGACGTTTAGCCCGATGACTCACTAGAGTCGCGTTACCTTCTCTCTCTCTCTCCTTCTCCCCCTTTCCCTATCTCTCTCTTTCTTTTTCTCTTTCTCCCGCTCCCTCTCTCCGCGCGCGTCGCGATATGACGCTGCGAAGAGCCTGCACACGTGTATGCTTCCACGAAGCGCTCTCTCTCTCTTTCTCGCTCGCATTGTAGAGCCCGCGTGTCCTATATAGAAGCCCTTTAAGGATCGACACGGAGGCGAACAAGCGCCGCCGCTCGTCGTCGAGATTTTGTCGCACTTGGCGGTCGGCGAATTTCCTCCCTCTATTAATAGCAAGAGTCTATATCGCGGCCAGGACTACGATTTGGAACGCGGCATGAGCGACGACGACGACGTACAGAGTGACTCGGCGAAGCTCTCTCTGGCCCTCTCGATATAACCCCCCCAATCAACCGAGCTGCGACTTGGACGATATTCGCGACCGTCCATCTCCTCCCCGTTGCCCTGGCCCATTGTGACGATCTCTGTCCGAGTTATTCGACCGAGCGCGCGCGTCCTGCCGAGAGTCCCGGTGTCCTGGTGCAACGGTCCCGCCTCCTGTCCCCCTCGCCTCCCCGGCCGAGACGTTGACATTTGCTCAATGTCACGCTCGTAGCCGCGGGGCGAACGGTACGCGCATTTTTACGCTCGGACAGGATCGGCCGTGCGAGGAGTCTCGGAGAGACCGCGAGGACCCCGTCGAGAGAGGGCCGAGGCGCGCAGCGTCGGCGAGACCCGGGACGTCCTCGATAATGGCCTCGGTTGAAATCTGACGGAGAACAGGTACTTACAGCATACCAGAACAAGAGGTACAGACGAACGAGCCGATTGTCATGTTGACGTAAGTCGGCCCGCGCTGGTTGCAGTCGAAGCACTCCTTGTTACCGGGTTGCGACACCAGCTCACGGAGCGTCTTCAAGTTCCTCTCGTCCTGCTTTCTCTTGGCGGACGCCATCGCGGACGCGCGAGCGTCTCGGGACGACGGCGACGGACGGACGGGGAGCTCTCTTCGTGCAGAGCTGCTGGGCTCGGACGTAGGGCGCCGAGCGGAGAACGCGCGAGTCACCTCTCGCGCCGCACCTACAGAACCGACTGCGATGCGCCGTTCGGTCCGCGCTCCTCTCGCTCGCTCTCTTCCGTCAGCGATCAGATCCTACCCAGACCCGCGGTCGGCCCCCCGCGGGGTTCTCGGGGCTGTGAACGACGCTCCGATGACCAATAGAACTCGTCTTCCGGAAACGCCGGTTGGCGACGGGCGTTTTGCACTTAGGTCCTCGGTCTAAGCTCACTTCTAGCGATGAAAGTGCCTTAAACGTGGCTTCTCAGCCAATCAGGTGGTTCCTAAGGCCCTGCGCACAATATCAGAAATAAGAATAAATGTTAAATGTTTGAAGTAAGAATTAGGAATTATTTTCACACGACGGAATGAAATGAACGGCTGTGCGACACAATTTCTATATTTATATTTTATATTTCATTCTTTCCATTGTGCATTATGTTTAATTGTACTATTCCTAATTTTTATTCTTAATATTTAATATTTACTCCTAATATATTTCCATTACGCGCGGCGCCTAAACTACTTTTAGGCCGGTCATTCATAGTCAGATCTTATATTTAAAACCATTCTTAAGTTTATCTTCAGATGCTTCGTAGCCAATGAAATAAGCCATGCAGCATCGAAGATAAATTTAAAACGGACTTATATAAGATCCGAGTTGACGTTCACGAAAAGAAAGGAAAACAACTTTTATCGATAAAAGAGAGTTCTGAATACGAATCTTTGTTTTGTTCTATATTTAATGAATAACAAAGATAGGATAATGCTTGTGTCAGCTTGTATTAAATGTACTAAATGTAAACCCATCTTCGATTGTGTTCGCGAAACGTACTATTAGCACTATTGCATCATTCTATTTTTATCGCTCATTACACATAAAACAAAGATAAAATAGTTCAGTAGAACATATAGTTTACACTGTTGGAAATTTTTCTGAGCAAAGATTATTATTTTAGATCGAGAAGAATAATCCAATCTCAGCATCGGAACTCCCAAGCAGAACAAAGTCTAAACGATGTCTTAAAGATATCTAAAAGACATTTTATTTTTTTTTAGATATCTTTCAGACGTCTTAAGAGGTATTTTAGGAACTTGTCCTATCTGAGTTTCCAACACTTGTAAGATAAACGTTCTGCAGAACGCGGCCAATGACGCAATAGCACTGATAACGTGCTCCCCGACTTCATGCACCTGTTCTTTCCAACTGCACTGTTTATAGTCTCTTGTAAATTCGTATTATTATCGTTTCGCGTCTGTTAATCTTAATATGGAAATTGTAATTAGTTGAGGAACTGTAAAAAGATCAGATCTACGATAAAATAAAAACGGAGTCAAAAGATTCAGCGGAGAGAACTTCCCAGTGAAACACGCAGCGTCCCCTGAAGGCGCGAAACCAAACCTCGTGTATTTTTTTTCCGGTTCAAATGGTGTCTCTATGAATTCCCTCGTCACAGGATGTTTACACCTGGAAACGCTCGCAAACGCGAAACGCGTACGACATATGCGTGACGGCGCGCCGATGATTGTCGCGAGGACATTCTAAAATGACAAATTACATGGTGACCGCGACGACGTGTGAACGACTCTGACGACTCGGTGAACGTGGAAACGAGGTTTCGGACGGCGCGACAACACCGATCGTCACCGCTATCGTCGTCATGCACGTCGACCTCGTTACGCCTGCCGTTTAACCGAACAACAACGCAATTGTCTCCGCGTTTTCTATGTCACCTCGGCAAACGTCTGAATAAATTATGAGCGTGGACAGCGAAAACAAGTCGAACGAGGCGGCGATGGCGCCGTACGCCTCGTCGACGGAGCCGGAAAACGGCGCCGATGGATGTGTCGAGGGTGCCCCCGTGACTCCAGAAATGGTGCTCCGATTACCTACTATTACAGATAGTATGACAGACTTGTTTCCGTCTTCCCGATTAAGTATCGTTGTATCACGCATCCCCTCAGCTTCTTGAGATATATAGCTTTCCTTCTCCCCCACCCCTTACATGATGAATTACATTCCAGATATGATCAAGTGGTAAATAATGCTTGTTTTCCAGAGTATCTCTGCTCACCGGAAGCCAATGTCTATGATATAGACTTTACCAGATTCCAGATTAGAGATCTCGAGACTGGTGCTGTGTTGTTTGAGATTACAAAGCCTCCTGCTAGTGGTATGTAACAGTATGGATACTGTTTTTGTATTTTGATAGCTTATTTTTGACAACTGTCAAGTCGCAAAGCTGTACCAGAAAGCTTAGTCAATGCTTCAGATCCAATTATGATAAAAACGTAATTTTCTTCAATTTGATATCAGATGATGTCTTATCTTCTCAAATAAATTTTAAGAAAATAATACTAGTTTGTAACCAAAAAGTGTTTCTTATAGATTTTTGGATGCTGAAAACAGTACCGCAAACCAAATTCCAGCATGTCAGATTTCCAAAATAATTTAAGTTCTATGTGCGAGAAATGACTTTGTGATATGTGAAATTTTTTTGTAAGAATATTGCAAAAAAGCCAGTTTTGCACATAAAACCTCAATTACTTAAAAAACCTGATAGTAAATTTGACTTGCGGCATCGTTTTCAGCATTCAAAAATCTCTAAAAAAAATATCTTGTTCAAAGTAATTAAAAAAAAAAATTTTTTGTGAATTACTATAATCGACATAGTAAATACATTCAACGTACCACATTCACAGAAATGTAAACATTAGAATTCTTACTCATAAGCCGAAATTTTGAGTATAAAATAAGCTTTCGATCACATAAAATAATCTTATAATTATTATGACAATTGTCACATAAAAATAAATTAAATACCTCAACTGTGTCTGTGTTACATTTGCTAGAGTGTGACGCCCATCAAGACCCAGAGCCAGAATGCGAAGAGCTTGGATCGGAGGACGCAAACACAGGACGCTTTGTGCGTTATCAGTTCACGCCGCAGTTTCTCAAACTGAAAACTGTCGGGGCAACGGTCGAGTTTCTCGTAGGGCCTAAGCCGGTCAATAACTTCCGGATGATAGAGCGGCACTTTTTCCGAGACAGGCTGCTGAAGACCTTCGACTTTCAATTTGGATTTTGTATACCGAACAGCAAGAATACATGCGAGCACATCTACGAGTTCCCGACATTGCCTGCGGATCTGGGTGAGTCGCTTGAGAGTCTCTCGGGACGAGTGGGCGAGCGTACACTTAGGAGAACGCATAGAAATAATCCAAGAGATGCTAAACGACATCTGTATCTGTACCTTTGCAGTTTCCGAAATGATCGCGAATCCGTTCGAAACACGATCCGACTCGTTTTATTTCGTCGACAATCAGCTTGTGATGCACAATAAGGCCGACTACGCATACAACGGTGGACACACGCACGATGTATTGTAGTGTGCGGTTTGTTGATTAGTACTATTGCAAATTATATATATATATATACTGGATTATAGTATCGCAGTTACACATGTTACAGCGTTACGACGACGACGTACGAGCTGCACGCGTTTGCCTGGCGTTTGATATTTCGTCTTTCGGCACGAGAACGAGCTTAAAAATTTTCGAATCTGTCACCGAACACGCGAACATATTGTTGCTACGGGAACGCTTTCTATACAAGCTTTTCGTTTGATTCGTCGACAGGGGAGATTGATCGTTGAATAGTTCCTATTTTTTTTTGTTTTCTTTAACGACGCACTATTTATTTGTAAGTTGTTACTAAGACACAATAATCGTTGTACTTAACTTTAGATGACACTTTATTAGCGTTCACTCTTGTGTGATACGTTCATCCGCGGACGAGCATTGCCGTTCGAGTACGCGCAGCGCACCCGACACATGGCCTTTAAGTGGAACTACATTGGTGGTTCTGTAAACTCTGTTCTTTCTCTCTCTCTCTCTCTCTCTCTCTAATCTTTAAAGTACAGCCTACACCGAGTTTCCACGGCGATACACGGAGAACGAAAACTGCTGAGAGAGAACGAGCGACAGATGAGACCTGTGTTCTTCGAGACTCGCAGTGGTGCTTTTCGCACCGCGACAAGTCGCGATTTCTTTCTACCGGAGATACACGACTACGAGGACGTGGTTGTTTCGATACTTTTCACACCTTGTTCTTGTAATTATTGTGAAGTTCTCACCCGAAATACATGTATATATATATATATTTACAAAGAACGCTTCACGATTGTGTTCCTCACGAGTGCATATTATCACACGAGCATCACGAGGGCAGAGGACGGTTTACAAAATTTGTCAGAACGTCGACAAACTCGTCGGGATTGTCCGCGTGAACCCAATGGTTCGCCCCGTTTACGTAATGGAACTCCGCCCGATGGAACAGCGTTCTGATCGCGTCGTGATCCTTCAGTCGGATGTAGTCGCTGTTGCCGCCGCCTATGAACAACGTGGGGTTCAGGTAGACCTTCCTACCGACGTTGGGGAACACGGCTATCTGCGTCGAGAACGCTTGCTCCAGCACCGGCAGATTGACCCGCCACCTGTACTTACCCGAGTCCACCTCCACCAGGTTCGCCGCTAAGAACTGCAACAGACGCGGATATAATGAGCACGTGGTTCCTCTGAGCCTGAAGAAGAGCGTAGGAACGTTACCTGGCGCAACGCAAGAGATTTGATGTATTTGGCGAACTGCTTGTTCGCCACCTGGCGTGCCTTGGATAGATTAGGACTTCCGTCCACGTTCATGGATCGCATTGCTTCGAAGATCGTCGCCATCTGCGCAAGATTGGGGCTTGTGCGTACGGGAGACATGTCGACGACCACCAGCTTCTCAATGTTACGCGGATAATTCAATGCGGTGTACATCATGGCGGAGCCACCCATACTGTGGCCAACCAGAAGAGCCTTATCCAAGCCTAGATCCTGCATAAGTTGGATAACGTCCTCCGCCATGTCCTTGTAAGACATATCCGACGTATGCGGAGAATCACCGTGATTCCTGGCATCCACCGCTATGACCTGCAGATTGATTTTCCTCTTAAGCACCGGGGATTATTTCAAGTAATATCGACAATGGCCTAGAAATAAAAACTTCTTCTCTCAAAGAAAAATAATAGCGATTGATCTCTCTCTCTCTCTCTCTCTCTTTCTCTTTTTATTCTAGTGTGAACTCAATCACTTTGTAAGTTACTGAGAAACTACCTTACGCTTGGTTTTTTCGTGAATCGTCTTCGACAACGAATTCCAGTTGTTTTTCGAGCCAAACAGGCCGTGCATTATTATAATGGGCGGCAAATTCTGTTCATTTTTCTTCAGCGACTCGTACGATGCATAGGCAAGTTTTACTGGCACTCTTGGAGAGAAGAGAGGAAGATAGGTTAAGAACAGAAGAAAAGCATGAGTTAATTCGGTTATAATTGAATGAACGCGTACCGTAGCGGGTTAGAGTGTAAACATTGGCGGTAAGAAGAATGCAACTTGTTGACTGAAAAAGACAAGCCGACGAGATTTCTCGTCCGAAGGAGCACCGACACATTCTGACCTATCATCATTAACCCAATTCTAATTCACTTGTATAACTGACGGGTTTTTATCTACCGGTCGCAGTGACCTCTAACGTGCACATGATCGCAATTTGAAAATTAAGCTCTGTCGGCTAAAATAAACTCCGTTTCGCTCTCTCTTTCTCTCTCTTCGTTCACGCCTCTCGAATACAATTTAAAATACACTCTCCCCTCGTGTCTCCTCGTGTCCTGCCACCTTTATCAACGTCAGATAAGGTGCTAGCCTCAATCCGACAATCGCAGTTTGTGCAATCGACAATCACGAAATTCTCTAGCGTGTGAGACAATTTTTTCTATATTCGTTTCTGTTATGGAAAAAAATGTTATATTTTCAATTTCATCAATTTCACGGTCGGTCTGGATGGACATGGTAATTGACAGATGGGTAACAGTTTCTTCGATGAAGTTGAAGCAGATTTTTCTGAAGCAATAACAATTAAATGGTCATTATGGCAGATTTCCAATTGAATTTCTGTAGCCAGCTTATTCAATGAAAATAATTGCCGTGGTTCCTGTAAGAATATCACAGGATGCAGCAGCGATAAATGAACGGATTTTGGAAACAAGTAATTCGACGGGATTCACACATCAAAGTTTATTTTTGACAGCGTCACCACGTCGATTGCATACGTGGCGCTGTAGTAGCAATATGCCGCTGTGAAGTGGCAAGTGGTCGAAGACGGTATAAGCATATGCCATTTTTATGATTGTACAGTGAATTTGGTCATAAACATGAGGTGGCTCGTGCCGTGCATATTATTTATCACTTCCATTGTCGCGACCCATTGTTACTTCATCACCGTGGACGCGCATGCCGAGGAATGTTTCTTCGACAAGGTCGAATTCGGCACCAAGATGGGTTAGTTTGTACCACGTCTGAATTCCGTCTCTTCCCTTTTTCCTCGTAACGATACAAAAGTGAACATTTCTCGACGATAACGGGAACGTAAATTGTGTGTGATCATATGAATTTTTCACATCGTCCGCATTGTCGACAATTGATAATCATCACGCTCATATTTATTTGTTTTATTTCACAATGCAACTATTAAAATTGGTTTACATTTGTACACAATATCCACCATGTATCCCCCTCTTTTTATTATTCATATATATTTTCTACATTTATTGTAATTTTGTGTATAATATTTGCAGGCCTCACATTCGAAATAGCAGAGGGTGGATTCCTAGATATAGATGTAAAGATAGTTGGTCCAGATGGAAAGAAGATTTACGAAGGTGAACAAGAGAGCAGCGGGAAGTATACATTCGCTGCGCACACACCTGGTGTTTACACCTACTGCTTCAGCAATCAGAAAAGTTCAATGACGCCAAAGGTGGTGATGTTCAATATGGACATAGGTGAGAATCGAAAACCTAATGAGGAAGCTGCTGGTGCGGATGGCCAGGATGCTGATGGCAATCATGGAAAGTTAGACGACATGATCAAAGACTTGAGCACCAGTTTATGGGGTGTAAAGAATGAACAAGAATACATGCAGGTATTTTATTTCAGCTCAGATTAATAGACCATTTTTGGCCTTCGAACTTTTTTATTAATTAATCGAACTACGACACTGCGACAGGAGCAGTAAGAATTCACGGTTTCTCACAATTTCAGGTGCGCGACCGAAATCACAGAGCGATTAATGAGAGTACAAATTTCCGGGTTGTGGTATGGGCGTTTTTCGAAGCCATGGTACTGGTATTGGTGACAATAGGACAGATCTACTACTTGAAGCGATTCTTCGAGGTGCGAAGAATCGTGTAGTCTAGGTATCTAATGACACTCAACTGAATCAATTTTTTATGTAATTAAATTATGTCTAATTACACATTACATCATCTCTGCGGTAAATACATTCTCCACATTTTCCAAGGTGAATCTAAATTTTACGGCGTTAGTATTTAAGCGAAAGGAGTATTTCCTACAGATCCGTAAGATTTCTAATAAATGAAGAATTTGTAACAGTACAAGATATTTAATTGAAAATATCCGTTCGATTGTAAATGTTTACCTCTTAATGTATATTAATGGTAAATATCGAAGAGAAACGTATATCTGTAATAAAAAAGAAATGTACATACCATTTTTCTCTGTATTCGTTGCGACTTAGATCCGATTGCACCAAACTCCGATTAAATCGTGCGACGATTAACCTTACAGGGTCGCAACTGAAATTCCCAATTTCTCTCTCTCGGTTTTTCTTGCAACCGGAATTTCACTTGATGACACTGTAAGTTAATTGTTGCCTAGCTTAATCGAAGTTTGGTGCAACCGGGCCTTAGACGCTGATCGAGTCTCACTTTGTATTTATTTACACGCTGCGGAACGCAGTGATGCGGTAACAGCGCTATTAAAAATTGATCTTCCTATTTAGAACGGGGATTCTTCGTTATGTGTGTCTCCGTTTTGGATTAAGGTAGATTGAGAAAATTATTATTACGCGCCTCCCTATTCTTAATTGATGATTCTTGATAAAGAATATAACGTACGCGCGATAAAAGGGAAAAAAAGAAGTCGGAAATTGAGAAAGGGACTTTCTCGCGGCGAGAATAATGCACAAGAAATACGATAATGATCGGACTGTGCCTGGCATTTTTTTTAGAGACGACGTATCGAGACATGATAAAAGCCTTCGATTAATGTTACCCCGTTAAGCGCTGGTCGAGAAAAGGGAACAGAATCTACTGCAATTAAGGTGATCGATCGCGCGTGTCGCTTTGATTGGGGGACGGTAAAAGGGACAGACTAATCGACGGCGATTACCGTATCACTGCGCGCGGATAAACGTACTTAATGAGTATCTCGACAAATTTATATCGCGACTGCGACCTAAGGCGGCTTTCCGTAAAAAGTAGACAACTCGGCGGAGTAACGCTAGGAGTATCGACAAGTAAGGATATTGTGATACCATGAAGATGTTGCTACTAATATTGAAACAGATAATCTAACCAAAAGTATCGATATCATGTCAATATCGGAACAAAAATATTGATATTGGTATTGGAAATGTAAAAAACCTTAAAATTAGAAGAAATATAAAAATCAGGGGAGTATTTGCCGGCAAGCTACTTTTATAAAGGAGTTTCGTACATATATGCATAATAATCTTACTATAGTATAAAGATACTTCTATCTTCTGCACTAAACTTTCTACGGTTTGGGAACTAAAAACCTGAAAAAGGATGTGTTAAAGCTTCTGTGTCTTCGCCACGACTGTTTTCGTTTGACGACGTCAAAAGCGAGAAATCGCATGCCACAAATGATTGCGGTACGCCTTGCCAGCTGAATATATATATAGTTTAGAAGAAAAATAGTTAAAAATAGTTAGAAGAGGTTTATGTATGTAATCTTGCATAACTAACTTCTAATTTCTAACTTAAGTTACTTTATCTAACCCGTGGTAGTATCACACATCCCTATCGATAAATATACGTCGCGCGCCAGCGATCGACGTTCGCCAAGAGCGGCGGACGCCGCTAACAGTTTAATGAATTCCCGATCACATTGTGACCGTGCGGAATAGTGCGGATTCGCGGCGGTTAGCGGGAGAAAATCGCGAGATTCGCGGCGGATAGCGACGTGCGGGCCGCAAAAAGGGATCGGCGCGGCTCTCGGAGGAGCCGCCGCTAATTAAGGAGAACGATTGCGCGTAACGGTATAATTAGAGGGAAGAGAAATCAAAGCGCCGGGGTGTACCGGCGGGATAAACCGTATCTCTTCATCGCGAGCCGGCTCTAACGAGCGGGGGATTATAAATGGAGGATGTTTATCGCGTCGCGCGCGCGCGTAAAACGCCGATTACGGACAAAGGCTCCGTGCTCACGGCGCGCATTTAGCGCTAAACGCGATCCCTCCCCGCGTCCAGCGGCTCCTTATCGCACATTAACATCGAACGGGCGCAATCCTCGCGCTGGATGACAGCAAACGAGGCAGCTGCATTCGGCGCTAAACGGTTCCGCGGGCGCAACGGGGGAGACGAAGACCAGCTCCGGCATTGTTTCCCCGCCGCGTCCTCCAGCGTTGAACACGTCCTCCGGCTTTCTACAAATTAACCCTCGCCACCCACCTGCTCGAGAATTTCATATAATTCACCTGGATCGTTTCTGACTCCATCTTACAATTATTCGTTTTATATTGGAGAAAAGAGTTTTCGGCATATAAATAAAAGGTTTTGAATATATAAACATTTTTCAAAAACGAAAGTAAGAAAAAAGTATAAATATTACTATGAAAATAAGTATAAGTAATATTACTATGAAAATAAGTACTCTGGGAATCATTATCTTCGGATGTTAAGTTGAAACACGTGAAACGCAAATCACGTATTTCGATATGTTCTTTACACACAAAATGCAAGCTCCCTTACATCATACATGATTTTGTATCTAAATGATGAGTTAATGCCTGTAAAACTGCACGAAAACTTTAGAAACATACTATTGCATACAACCCAGGATCAAAATTGACCCCAGTCTCATATTTTTCACAATAAAAAAATACTTGTAACGGTTGAAGAAGAAAAATTGCCGAAAACCAATAATACGAAAAAAGCATCTCCACAAGTTGAGAACTAAAAGGAAATAAAAACAGAAAATACCACCATCTTCAGATAGGGGATCAAGAAAAAGGTGAATGGCGAGGGGTTAACAGATGATTTATACCCGGTTCCACTATCATGATTTAAATCTGATCGACGGTTAACTCAACGGAATGGAAATCGCATGATCAATTCAGCTAATTGGCTAATTCGATTGATCGATTAGATTTAAACCATGCTGGTGGAACCGGGCATTAGAAATGATATTATAGGCTTTGCTTACACCGATCGTTTAATATACGTACCAACTAGCAATTTCAATCCGAATTATTTTTATTTTAATAACACATAAACAACGATGTTTTAAATTGATACGATATGTTTTCGTAATCCATATACCATTACTGTTCCACATAGCACATGTTAGTTTCACATACATTCTTTAAACGTATTTAATACGATCACGAAACATTACACACTTCAGCAAACTAATTATCAGTAACGTAATATCAATGTTCTAATTTCCCGCTCGACAATGTAACTGTTACATAACATACGCGTTGTATTGGATTTCCATTGATGAACGGGAAATCGTAATATTGATGTTATGTTACCGTTTTTACTGGACACTGAACGCCTGTTCTTTTTACTTGAACTGGCTGCACTAGTCCAAGAAATTTACATCTACATTAAAGCGTATGTACGAGATTCTCATGCTTCAGTGCTACATAAATTTCTCGAACTAGTGCAGCCAGTTCAGCTGAAAAGTACAGACCGACTATTAGTATTTACTGGATACATATATTCTAAGAACATATATGAAATTAACTGTGTTACCTGGGGTGTTATATCCAGGTGTGTCGTCGTTTACATCGTCGAGATTTAAGTAATCCGATAGAAAGTTACTATTCGGAGCGCGTATCAAACGACTAGTGATGTAAACCAGGCTATAGGCGGCTTCGTTGAGTGATTTTCGCCGAAGTTCTACATCGACTTGAATGAACTTAGATCGATTGGCGAAGGGAATCAAGAACTACACGAGGTATCGCTTCCCAAGAGTGGCATCCGGTTGCACGGCGGGCTCGAAGGATACGCAGGATTAATTGGTGGGTCCGATCGCGCGCGCTGCTTCGCCCCCTTCGTCCCCCCCCACTTTCTCCTCCTCCTCCTCCGTCTCGCGGCGATCCCTTCGAAGGGGTTGCACGCCACGTCGGGTCTCCTGCGAGCGGAGAGAAGAGAAAAAAGAAGCGCGGCAGAGGAGGAACGAAAGAAAGGAGCTGCTAATTGACACGGGCGATTGCACGTAACGGTATAATTAGAGAGAAAGAATACGAAGCCCGGGCCGGTGCACCGATGAAACCAATGAACCAGCCACCGCGCGACAAGGACGGAGGGAGGGAGCGAGAGAAGGAGAGATAAAGAGAGAGAGAGAGAGAGAACAGAGCAACGGAGGGAGACGAGAACGGAAAGGCAGAAAAGCAGCAGGGGAGAGAAGCAGCCGGCGGCTTTCGTGCGATCGAGGGGTTCCCTCTCCAGAGAAAGAACCGCGGGCCTACGATAAGAGAGAGTGAGGGAGAAAGAGCGTGAGAACAAGAGGCAGCGAGAAGGAGAGAGGAAGACGCTGGTCGCCGGAGAGAGAAAAAGCGAGCGAGCGAGCGGGCGTGAGAGAAAGACGAGGAACGTGAGAAGGGGTACGCGGAGAGAGCGGTGGCGAAAGACCGAGAGAGAGAGAGAGAGAGAGAGACAAGATGAGGGGTGGAGGAGAAGGAGGGAGAGCGAGAAGAGAGGGACCATGGGCTCGTGGACCCTGCCGCGACCATTCTGTACCAACAGGCCGCGCCGGTCGGTTTCGCAGCGCGTTCCTCGTGCCCCCTCCGGTATTACCACGAGGAGGTGCAGCCGTTCTCCAGCGAGGTCGCCTCCCCCGAGGGATAGGAGGTGGTGAACCGTCCTCGGGAACGAGGGGACGCCGTCAGAACCTCCGTCCGCGAACTCCTCCGTCCTCAACGTCCTCTTCGTCGCGAAATGCGAGTCGCGGGCCGCGACGACAGGACGCCGCAGGACGGGACTCGGGAAGTGCTCCGGTGAAAGGTGCCGCGAGAGAGTTCCTCTCTTTTTTTCCTTCTCTCCGAGGGGGCCCGACCTCGCCGGGACCAGAGCGCAGCTTCTTCTTCTTCTTCGAATTCACCGTCGTCATCGTCCGGATGCCGGAGGCTTCGCGAAGTCGCTCCGCGAAGAGGAATCCCTCGCGATCGCTCTGCGATCCTCCGCGGCCTTCGGCCGGCGATCTTTGACACCTCGAGGGAACGTCGTTGATGGACTCCGAGGCGAGGCCGCGATCATCCGAGACACGGTGACGAGTCGGCTTCGCGGAGCAGCCGGCGGGTTCGCGGGTGGATCAAACCCCGCGGGTTCAACGTTTCCTTGAAATCGAGAGGCGATCCCGGCCGCGAGGCGAGGACGGCTCGACGAGGATCGAGGAAGAGTCGGCGAACTTTCACGCCGCGTCCGAGGACAAGTCGGCCGAGGGACCAGCGACGAATGATGCACCTGGATGACTCGCTTCGATTCCGAGCGCCGTCCGCGACGACAGGTTTCCAAATAGGACGACGAGAACCGTCGGCGGCGGCGAGCGAGCACAGCGAGACGCAGGTTCAACGCATCTCCGACGTGCGCCGACCAGCGGCAATTAACGCGACGCGCTGACGATCGGGCGACGCGCGTCCTCGGGACGAACGGACAAGAAACGGCTCTGGAAACGAGAATCCCTCCGGAACGAGGATTTAATGGCGGTCTTTCGCAGTTAGCCGCCGATCGGCGCAGCTCGTTTGCGAGGCTCGCTGGTGAAGTAGCGGCTGCTGCGGAGTTCGGCGGAAATTATTCCGTCAAGATCGCAATCGCGCGCGCACGAGAGCAGCCCGCCCGGCGATCAGGTTTCGCCGCGAGAAGAAATCTCATTTCTCGCCGCGCGTTCTCCGTCGCGCCGGACAAGGATCACCGAGCGCGATCCCTCGGTTCGATCTTTCTTTCTCGCTCTCTCTCTCTCTCTCTATCTCTATCTCTATCTCCCTCTCTCGCTCTCTTTCGCGAAACACGGGGCACACCGGAAGGACGGACTAATTATGCGAGCTGGTGGGCACCGTGGGCCGCAAAATGAGACGTGAAGCGGCGCCGCGTCGCGTCGCGAGCGGAAAAAGAAGAAGAGGAACGCCCACGGAAGGAAAAGGATTCGCGGAGGATCTCCGCCGAGGAGAGGCTTCGATCCTCATTGTGATCGGTATTAGCAGGAGCTAGAGCGGAACGAGAGACCAGCAGCGGGGCCATCCCGCCGTCGTCGAGCTGAGCGAAGCCGCAATTATCTCTCTCTCTCTCTCTCTCTCTCTTTCTCTTTCTCCCGCTCTCTCTTTGGTAGCTAACGACCACGGCCCGTCCCGTTCGGTGAGTAATTATTCAATTAAACGCCGACTTCCCGAGGCTCACCGCGGCCTTTAATGTAATTGACAATTCGTCCTGGATAGCAATCGGACACGGGAAAGGAGAATTCCGTTGGTCTAATTGAATTTTCCGTTACCTAAGACCCGAGACGAAAATTCGGTTGTAGGAACAGGAAGATTCCTGTATGAGATTTTCACTTAATCAATTGTTTGCGCCTCTACCAATCGAGTTTTCATACAGCTGAATGTTCACAAGAACGTTCTCAGTCGCGGTAACAGAAACGTTGCTTCTTGTAGCTGATCATTTCTTGTCACCGAGTTTTCATTTCTGGTCCCCATTCTGGGTATAGATCATGTAACTTTCCCCTTAAGACGGAAACGTGGAAAGTAAAACGTTTTCAAATTAGAAAATGTACACTTTTCACGAGTTCACGTTAGAGGAGAAGTTCATGACCCCCTGGATGATGACTATACATGTTTTCCAGCGTGAATTCGTGACAAGTGTATATGTTCCGATTTGAAAATATTTTAGTTCTCACGTTTCCATTCTAGGAGAAAAGTTACGTGATCAATACCCTGTTGTAAGAACTATGTTCTTTTTTCCATACTTTTTCCGTAATTCTTCCCGAGGTTGCAACCGTGAAAAATGAGCATTTCTAAGTACCTTCGAATGAGAAAATTTCTATTTTTCACGAGTTCATGTTAAAGGAAAATATTTACAATCGACCCCCAAGGGATTACAAGTTTTGTCCTCAGAAATAAGTTTGGTTGGATCTACCTGACAATAGTCAATCAAATGTGTTTTGGTTGAAAGAAACAAAATTTCTGATTATAAGAATCAAATTTGGTTCATTGGGAAGTAGAAATTTGATTTCTTTCAATCAAAATACATTTTCCATCGTCAAGTAGATTCAACCAAATTCTGTTTAGCTACGTTGTTCAGCGTAGCGTGAACTCGTGAAAAGTGAAAATTTTCTGATTTGAAAGCATTTGGAAATATCTCATGTTCAGCTTCTCATGATTCCGCCCTGGGGGAAAATTACGTGTCGCTGCCCTTTCGCGAACGTTTCGCCGACTGACCGCATCCCCCTCGTTAATTCGCGTCTCGTAGATGCTAAAAAACCTACTTCCTACGTCGGAGACGAATAACTATATAATCACGAATCTCGCGATCGCTCTCCTTCTTCTCTTTTCTCAGGTTCCTCAGTTAATTTGAAGATTTTTCCGGAAACACTTCTTGCGAAAGTTAATTGTCGGTAGACCGTAATTGCGTTCTACATTTCACATACAATCTTTCGGTACAGATAACGGAAGTCATTTAGAAAGTCTACACACAGAAAAAATATACATTGCATTTAAATAAATATTACTTGCTTCAAGTATTTTACATAAATTTATATCCGCAAACACACCATAAAAATTCAATCATGAGAATATAAAATCTATTCAAAATATATTTTGAATCCTAGTAAGTTTAGCACTTAAATTAAGAAAATTAAATTAAAGCAAACTTCGGCTTGCTTATTCAATTTAACTTTCCTTCAACAAAATTTATAATATTCTCGAAAAGAGAATAAATTCTTCGTTTGGACGCGTGATGCCTCGCTTTTCTCAAATTTGGGCCGAATATATATATTATTAATATATATATTATAATATATTTCAAGTTTATCACATCAGGAAGAAAAATCTTCTCAATCGAAGATAACTGTTACTTTTGAAAGAAGGAAAGTAAACTGAGAAATTGCTTTTCTCAGCAAGTGGAATGATATTTTTCTCTGTGTGTACGGAGATGAGCAGACCCGAAACAAACAAAACAGACACGAGACATGGGGTTGATTGATTTGACAGAGTTACGATTACTGGTTAACGGTAACGGGCGGAACGGTAACAATAATTACGAGGAATTAAAACAAGAAGAGATCAATCCACGCGACAGACACAGGCTACAATTGCGCGTATACTGTGTGTGTACAGAGTAGTGTCGCGATGGACATAATAAACGACTACGGGAGTCTGTAGGATGAATGCACGCCTCTGACATAAGCTCCGTTAATTATGCGAGTTAGCGGACACTCGAGTAACTCTTATGTCATATTTTATCGCGGCTTTCGCGCGATACGCGCTAATTCGATTCTTCTCTCGTAGCGCAGGTCGCAGTAAGAACCCTCGTCAAAGAAACGACGCGGACGAGTTCGCGAGGAGCGCGCGCGCGGAATCACCGCGTATAGAGAGGCCCGCTGTCAGCCGTCGTAACAGGATCTCGTTAGCGGCCGGCCGATACGGTATACGCGACGATGGTGTACGGTGGTGGCAATTTCAGCTTGATAAAAGCGACAACCGCCCAGATATAAGCTTTCATCGGCTCGATCGTTGTGATATTCGGCTGTGCCGCGCGTACGCGATTCATACGAGCGAGCGAACGATCGATCGCTCGGTCGATCCGGATATGAGCGCAGTTCTTTCCCCAGAGCAGAGCGAATCAGTCACAGAGACGTCAAAGTGACATCATTCCGTGATCCATATTTTACGCCTCGTCGTGACGTTCAAGTGCTCCATCCGGAGCATGTATTCATGATGTCGAAGTTGAAAATTATCAGACGACTGAGAAACACGACCAACACCAACTAAGTTTTGAATCCCTTTTCTTTTAATCTCGGTAGTATTCCACGAATTATCACGGTGATGTATGTGTGATAAGTTTTAATATTCTCGGGTAAAAAACAAAATTATATAAAAGCCAAGGTAACGTCAAAACGGTATCATTTTAACGTCATCTTGATTTTTATATGACTTTTTGCTCTACCGCAATAACTCCATAAGGAAACGCAAAAAATGATCAATCTATCTATGCGATATGTAACTATATATTGTTAGGTGCATCGTGAATCTCGTAAAATTGCATGTCACAATTGAGTCATTTCAAACTGATTCCTTCACGCAGATGATATCGCGATGTAAAATGCATAATTTCGATATTCACCTTGATATTTTCGTGATTTACTTATTTACTTGAGTCATAACCAGATATTCATAGTCAGATCTTATACTAAAGATTCTAAATTTATCTTTAGACACTGATGGATCGTTTGAGTTTTGAAATTGATACTAATTTTTGTCCGTGCGCCAATGTCGAGCTCGCATGACGGCGACAATTTTCCCTTCTATATCTGCGTACCAAACTAAATTTATTTTACACGCGATTACATAAAAATAAACAATAAGAAGAAATAAATACAATATTGCCCGCGGGGGGGATTTCTCAAATAAGCTTTGGTAAAGAACATGTTGAGTCGCGCAAAATAATCGTCTAGATTGGAAAGTTGCACGAAGAACATAAATTGCAGATATTATAGTCTATATTTCCGGAGTTGTGTGAGACAAGATAATTAGCGCGAGAATTTGCGCTTTCACTGGAAAAAGGAAGAATCGAATCCGCCGATGAATATTGTCGCTGGGTCCGCGGGCGTTCTTAGAATTGTCTCTAGAGACGTCTCGAATCGAACCTAGCCAAGGATTTCCGCCTGATAATCGCTGAACCGGCAATGATTTACCGATGTCCCGGCAGATTAATAGGCAGCCCCCTTTTAACGGCTCACCGCGACTCGCCCGGAGTTCATCTCGCAAATGACCATTCCGTTATGCCTGGACTTTGCTCCACTTTGCGACCACGTCATGAACAATAGCCACGCCGCAGAAGCGCATCATTGATCACCTCAACAGAAATGATTTCTCGTAATATGCGATTCCTCCCACGAGAAATTATCGCCGAAGGTGCCGTGCATATTTTTAACACACACAACAGAGAGGGGAGTTGGAAAAAAATAGCTATAATTCGAAGTTTAATTAGATTATTGTCTAAAGCTACTTCACTAAATGTTCGATAATTGTTATCAAACTCTTTTTTCAGTGCCCACTATTTTCCGAATCGAATTTTAGCCGTTTTTTTTAGGCTTGCCGTCCTATAGTAGAGCGGGGCGGAAAGCCGATCGACGTCGGAGAAATGTGTCACTGACACAACTGATCGAATGGCGACGGGTTTATCGTTATCAGGCTCTTATCCATGTTCTCTTACGGGGATATTCTCAGAAGACAGTGCAGTCTCTCTCTTTGTCTTTCCTTCTTCTCCTCATCGTGAAATCGGCGCGGAAATAGTCGGCTTAATAGCGTCGGCGATTGATCTGTGAAACCGAAGCGTTCGCGCGCGCGACGCAGAAATAGGAGAAACTTAATCTCGCCGTGCGCCCGAGATTGTTGTGCTTTATGAAGGTCGTTATCGAGTGAATAATGTCGCGTCGAAACGTGGCGGCCGCCGCCGTTCCCCCGACGTCTTTTAAACGAGGTGAAAAGCGCGTTTTAAAACTGTCGCGTTTTACGAGCGCGCGCCATTAGCCACGCCGCGCGCGCGCGCGCGCGCGCGGAAATATTCGCCGAGTGAAATATTTTACGCGGCGCATCGCGCGCGCGCCCCAGCGATTACTTTTGCACACACACACAGGCCCTGACGGGGCCGTATACGACGAACGTTGAACTGGCCCCGAAGGTGTAATCACCGGAATCATTCTTAGATCGCTTAGGGACGCATGCGAGAGAGAGAGAGAGAGAGAGAGAGAGACGCGCGATAGATAATGACGGCTCGCAATCTGGACTTCGTAATGCAGCATGATCGACAATGAGGCCGGGTACTCCATTACCTTAGATCAGACCAGTTGCGATTATCTTGGACAATTACCCCTCGACCGTAGGGAGAGAAAAGGACGTCGACGTTGACAATTTGCGATCCTCCGCGGAGACAATCTTAATTTTGCCCGTGGCGTTCCCGGGATGATCATTGTTCCCGACGCGGCCAACCAGCAGGTTCTACTTCACATGAAGCGATTCATACAAGCTGGAAGTTAAAAATATCTCGATAATTTTTTTCTATAATCGCATTACGAACTACGACAAGGCATGAAAACTAAAACATTTTTCTAAATCAATTAAGAACAGAGGCATCCTCCCCAG